GGACAAAAGCAAGTGGTACATACTGCTAGAACTTCCAGATGAAGATGATAGTCGAATCACTTCATTGGGATCATGAATGCGGGTTTGAACCAAAACAGTTTGAACAGATGAAGATACCAACACCATATAGAATTGGGAAGTCAAGATACACCATCCAACTGAAATCAGTTCGAAGACCTTCTACACTCCATAAACAAGAGAATTCGGATTTTCAACACAAGTGTTAAGTGATTCACTTCATCTGTACGAGTCAAAGCGTCACGACAACCATTTCCAACAAGCTCCAGACTTTTATCAACAGCTGACTTCTTCGGTCGCATATTGAAGAATAAGTGACCAAAAAGATTTAGTAACAAGAAGCTATGAAAAGAAACTAATCAAAAACCTATCGCTCAAAAAATATGCATTGAAAAGTGGAGATGGATCGGGCAGACGCTGAGGAGACTATCGAATGATTTTGCACACCAAGCCGGCAACTGATTGAAACACTAATGGAATGGACGTGTGCATTGCTGTATCGAAGGTGACACGTAGGAAATCGTGCAAGGAGGAGATGAGAGACTGTTGGGGATCGTGAACCTGGCTGAAGAGGACATCAGAAAAGAGAACAAACAAGGAGATTTGTTGTTGAAGTCCTATGTTCCACTTGAGTCCCAAGACAACAATAGTAATGATAATAATCTCCGTCATAATTCGACACAGGTTATCAATATCAGATATCTTGACTTTTGATTTTTTTATAGATCAAGTGAACACACTCATTTTGTTGTGAATTAGTGTTTTGAAGTCATCTAAGTTGCCCCAGGATCCGTCTCCAGAACAACCACACTACTGCCGACTGATCACTTGGAAGTGTTCCCCACACTGAGATTTAACTGTGATAGCAAAACGGAGAATGACTTTATTTGTCAAAATACATGGTATTTATAATTTTAAAAATCTTGATTATTTAAGCCATAAATAAACCAACAAATTTGATTGGTTGTGTGATATCAAAAAATCCTCAGGAACCAAAGCTAAAAATTGACGAATCAAAAAAGTTGTCCAATCATGGATAAATTATGAATTCATAGTTACGAAAGAAAGTTTCTGTTTCCTAATGCACTAGAATAAATTAATTGCAAATCTATGCACACAATAAATGTTTTTTTTAAGTATAAACTTTCATAGAACTTTATTTTCAACTTATGCTGATCTACAGGAAGAACATCAGAGAAACAGAAAACATATAACCCTAGAGAACGTCTTGTAAAATCTGGTCGACCAAGGTCCACAGCATCATTTGGATTAAACCAGCAGCAATATACCGCACGAACATCACAGCACAACGATAAATCAATTGTACCCTATAGCATTGATAATAAGCAAGTTGTTGTAAAAACTCCTTCTGAAGAGTTACATAATGAATGCTCAATACACACAAAACATTCCGATCTAAGTAAGTGTTGAAACTGATTTCTTCACACATACTTGAAATGCTTCAATAAATAACTATACATTAGGTTTTAGGTTCATCATTTCTCTCCAACGATGGACGTGATTCGGGATTCGATTCTCGCTTCATACACTCCTAAATCTACCCCAGTAGATAGTAAATCCGATAGAGTTGTTTGGGCGCGATACTATCAACTTTACGTCACTATAGAAACTTTATACCTGAAGCCTAAAGCCCTATTTTCTACTCCGAAGGTAAAGGAATGAAAAGAGGATAACATGAGGATTGACTGACGAGTGTAAATCTGGTGGTCAGGTTTGCAGTATTTTCACACTTGCTCATTGAAGCATATCTGAATAACAGAGACAATGTGAGCGTCTACAAGGTTACAGATTAGTCGTAATGAAAACTGTGAATAAGCACAAAGGCTGAATCACCTTTAGCTTACCTGACTCCTCCTCCTCCTCATGGCTGTGTGGGTTTATTCAAATATTTCTTGAAAAAAAAAAGAAAAGTTTCGATATTTCAGAAGTGAAGGTACTTAGAAGGTGATATGAGGTTGGAAATTTGAGTTTTGTCCAGGTATTACAATACACCTGTAAAAATTGGATATTATTATTGTCCCCCGAGAATCTGAGTGCAAAGTGGAGCTTCAGCAGTACATCTCCATTTTCTCCTGCTATCTGCAGTCCTCTTAAGCTGGCGTCATGACTGCCAATAGACCCTAAATCTCGTTTTCACACAATTTCTTCCATATCACATACGGAACAATGACCGTCTTCTCATTTTCTACTCATGTTCCACTTAAGGTTTTTTTAACGCGTGGTGTCACCTTGTAACAACAGAAGACAAGGGCCAGGCAACAGATCGTTTTATTATGAAAATCAACACGTATTTATATATATTTCACATACATTATTACAGCTTATGCAAGTAGACAAGCGCAGTTATCTGATTGGTTGTTTATCAGAAGTTAGGCAGACAAACGCAGGCTTCGGATTGGTTGTTTAGGGATTCCTCGACAAATAGAGTTCTCTATCTGCGAATCATATTTTGCCACGTTAACTTTGCTGTGATTGGTTGTTAAATCAGCCTTGCTCATATTTTCTCACGGCCTGCTCTCACCACAACCTGACTACGTCTTCAAACTCAACCCTATCTATCACCATTTCTTAGGTATATCTTTTAAGCAATAGCTTCTTCACTGGTTCGTTCCCAGAAATTTCTACTACCCATTCTTTCGGGTTATGTGGTCTTCAGTACGAAAAGAATGCAACGGTTGTTAAAAAAAAACTTTTAGAAATGGTTTACGTGACTCACTTCTCAAGTTTCTGACCCATATAAAAGTACTACGTCACTTCACATTTGTGTTTAAAATAGGTACTGTCTTCTTTATTCTCAGTCAGTGCAGAATATTTTAAGACTAGTTTCATGTTGGTAAAGGCGTATATCGCTTTTCTGATTCTGGCTGGTGTTGCCATCTTCATCTATTCCAGTTGCCTGTGGTTGAAACCTTGCTTCCCAGTCAGATAATTAAAGCAGGCAATCTCTGTCAAATTTACCCCGTTGATGGTTGGTTATCATCATCACCTGAGTTTTCGCCATGCTCACCTGGAATCCTGTTTCCTCTGCCTACTTTTTCAGCCAGTTTGTTAGTCCCCGTCTACAGTGCTTCGAGTTTGTGTGACATAATACATAAATCTTAAGCATGAAGTCCAGATCTTCTTGAGTCTTCTCGTCGATCCCGTGTATTCCCGTCTTCTAACTCCCCATGCACAGACTGACGTATAATTCAGTTTACTACAATTAGGAATATCATCGGCAGGCACCCAGCTTGTGATAATAGATAAAACAGAGGTGATGAAGATTCCTAGCCAACATCAACAACAGCAACAACAACAGACAACAATCAGCATAAGTGGGAAGAACCTGAAAGAAACAACCTCCTTCATCTACCTGGGAAGCATCGTCTCAACTACAGGCGGAACTGACGAGGATATCAAAGCCAGAATCGGAAAAGCAAGACAAGCTTTCATTACTCTTAAGTCTGTGTGGAGGTAAACAGCACTCACCATCAAAAATAACATCCGGATTTTCAACTCCAATGTAAAGTCAGTCAGTGCTACTCACTATACGGATCAGAGACTTGGCGCGTCATGAAGAGTACCTCAAACAAACTACAGACCTTCATTAACAGCTGTCTCCGCTCAATACTCAAGATCAGATGGCCAGAAAAGATTAGCAACAGGGATCTCTGGGAGCGAACCAATCAAGAACCGATTGTGAAACAAATAGGCAGAAAGAAATGGAGATGGATTGGCCGTACGTTGAGGAAACCATCAAGTGACATCACTAGACAAGCCCTCGAGTGGAACCCGAAAGGGAGGCGGCGAGTTGGTCGTCTCACAGTGGGGTGACTTGGAGGAGGTCATGCGAGGAGGAGATGAAAGCATGTGGACAGACCTGGAGCAGGGTGAAAAAGTTGTCAGAAAACCGAAGGCAATGGAGGTGCTCAGCTGAAGCCCTATGTTCCTCTAGGAACTAAAGGATACAATAATAATAATAATACCCAGCTTGTCCTACTCCTGTCTTCACTTCAGGTGCTTCACTGGATTTTCTACTGTGGACCATTCGACATGCGTCATTGTCATATAGTCAACTGTTGTCAATAAGGTTGATAAATATTTGAATATGACCACTCTTTACAGTCAAGTGTTCAATATGTCTTATTTACAGACAAACAGTATAAGTTAAATGCTGTGAATATTTAATCGCTTGTAGATTTTAAAAATAGTAGGCAAATTATAAGAAGTACGCCAAATTGTTGAAAATGTAACTGATCATCCAAACCTACTGGTTGATTTCAGTTACATTGCTCTACAGCTGTAAGTGATATGACAAAATGAGTCGTATATGTAAACAAAATTCAGAAGTCATGGCCGTTGCAGGTTCAGTCTGTCACAATGAAATGAGTGTTCATTGTTAGTAAAAAAAAATTTGTGTCATCGACATACCATGAATTAATAGAACTTAGAATATTTGGATCACTGAACTCTAATCCAGAAGAGAGAACATCAACAGACTAGCCTCGTAAACTGAAATTTTTTCATTCGATCTCTGGTAGGTTCATGGGTGCTAATTGATGAAGAGTGGTAAACTATGATGAAACACCATGACAACAGTTTTCTCTCTATGTACAGGGGTGAAGTTGCTAGCACCACGCTCCAACCCTCCCTCTTTACCCGGGCTTGGGACCGGCTAGATAACTAGCAAGCTAGTATCTGGAGAGGTTAAACATAGACAAGACGGAGGTTATGAAAATAACCAACGAACAACAGCAACAACATCCAACGTCAATCACCATCAACGGGAGGGATTTGAAAGAGGTCACTTCATTCACTCACTGATCTAGGGAGCATTGTCTCAACTGCAGGAGGAGCGGACGAGGATGTAAAATCGAGCGAGAATCGGGATGGCGAGCGAGAAACACATTCATCAACCTGAAATCAATCTGGAAATCTTCGTCACTCAGCCAGCATCAACAACAAAATTCGGATTTTCAATACAAACGTAAAGTCAGTTCTTCTATATGGATCAGAAACTTGGTGGGCGGGTCACAAAGAATATTTCTAACAGCCTGTTGCAGACCTTTATTAACAACTGTCTTCGCTGGCTCTATACTGAAGATCAGATGGCCGGAAAGAATCACCAACAAGGAATTATGGGAACAAACAAAGCAAGAACCAATCGCCTACAAATATGCAGGAGAAAGTGGAGATGGATCGTATGCTCGCTGAGGAGACCGCTAAGTGACATCGCGTGTCAAGCCATTGCTCGAGTGGAACCCGAAAGGGAAGCGGCGTGTGGGAGGTCAGTGCAAGGGTGACATGGAGGAGGTCGTGTGAAGAGGAGTTGAAAGAAAATGGACTAACATGGATGCAAGCGAAAAGTACAGCAGAAGACAGAAGCAAATAGAGACGTGCAGTTGAAGCCCTATGTTCCACTAGGAACCCAAGGGAGCAATAATAATAATAAAAATCTACTAAATGGCTTTAGTAGGTGATGGGGTATCTAATTCACGACTCAATGGATGAAAGTTTGGAATCTATAAAGGTTAGCCACACGCCTTTAGCAACACACCACAGTATAAGAGTAGAATTGTATAAAGTATAGTTTCATGATAGAAATCTATGTGATACATGGTTTTCATGAGAATATGATGCACCCCTGTTTAATGTGATCTCATAATAATGCACAGTTATCCATTTATCCAACTTCAGGACCTCTGGTTGGAAGATCTGAGTTAATTATCCTCAAAATTTTTTGCTTTTATATTAAACGAAGAACTAAATGTCAGCGAAGTTGGTTGTACAGTGAAAATGTATCCCATGAATACTTTTAATATTGCTTAGTACTTTAATAGATTCTTTTGTTATAAGATGATCGGAGGCAGTCAGAAGGTAGCACTGACTGACCTAGGTCTCGTGTTTGTCAGTACTCATCAGTCAACAAAGCATATCTGCGACTTTGAAGGAATTCATGTCCCACCCCTTTGAAATTCAAACCCGTGTCACACTTTGTTGTAATCAAAGACATTACCACTGAGTTTAAGACAAACTACGCTTTCATTTTCAGAAAAACGTTAATCAATGCGGATATTTCAGCACAAATAAGCTCTTACGATGTAACATAATTGGATATTTTTAGAATGAGATGTCTTCATTTTTATACTTCTTCATACTACAGCTGGAACACTGAGATTTCATCCTTAAAATTGCAGTAGAAGTGGCATCAGGTTACCAAACTCACGTTAAAAATTCCCTCTTTCCCAAGCTAACCGTTGTCTAGTAAACTACACAAAGTTTAGGAGTATGTTTGTTTAGGAGGAATCACATCTCGTCCTCCTGAATATTTACCGAGAATTATACCACTGAACCAACCTTATACAAATATTTCATGCAACTGACAGAATCCCAAGATCGAGCTGGAGACATTCACAGCTGTTATTGATTATTATACATGTATTATTTGCATATTTTGACAACCAGTTTATATCCATAGACTCCTGTTCTCACAGTTCATACGAGTTTCGTCAAAATCGTAGAAACAAATCCAATCCTTGCAAACACCAACTCTTGAAAATTAATCTGATGCTCGCCAGTGACTTGCTACAGGACAGAGTATCCTGGAGTTCTAGTGAGAAGTCGTGACCAGTGAGGTCCATCTAGTCGGGAGTGAGGATGGATTTCCCACCGATGACATTGGCTGGTGGTCATACTGTGCGTCGGTGGCACAGTGGTTAGGACTCTCGCCGGTCATGCACATGGTCCGGGGTTCTAGCCCACGCTGACGCACACCTGATATCTACGGTCGGCCTGCGAATTTCGGGCTACGGATATCCATGCTGAAAATTCCACACTTGTACCAAAAATACGATGTGGAATCAAGCTGTAATCAAAAATCAAAAAATCACGAAATGGTAGAAGTTTGTATTCATGGGATGTTGGATCACGTCCCACTGGCTGAATGGTATACTAGTTAGCCTGTAGAAAGGCGCGTACTGCCGATGATTCCTAAACTAGGCTGACGAAACAGCTGCCCAGTACTCCTCCCTGGTTTTCAATGGTTCTCCATCCGATATAAATCCGTGGTCAAACTCGTGAAAACAAATTTAATCCCTGAAAACCAACTGTTCAAAATCCTATTTTTGTTTTTACTGATATTTTGGTGTTTTGATGTGTTCAATTTTCAATCAAATGATTGTGCTACATCTATTTTAAGTTGTTTTAGTAATCTAGTTATTATTTTAGAAATACACTTCATGTTCACTTTGTAATTTAAATCTAACCCTTGTATTCCATTAACTTAATGTCAGTTTTAATGAGGATTTTCTTCGTTTCTTTTTTTATGTTACTGTTGTTGTTTCTGTTATTCTACATTCTTGTTAGTAACAGATGATTGGATAAGTGAAGCTCAGAATATATTGGACAATATTAAATCAACCAGACGATTAAGTCATTCAACATGTACGCCTTGTTTAAATACACAATACAATTCAGATATAAACAAAACTCATCTGCTTCCTGTTATTGATAATCCAGGTATTGAGTGGTTCTATTTTTTCCTTGTTTTAAAAACTAGTTATATAACCTGATTTTTGACATTATAATTTAATGATTTTACATATACCATAATGACAGAAACACATGTAGTGTGGTTCGAAATCAGAAAACCATAGATCTTTACATTCTAATGTTTAGTTGACTCAAAATTTCCCTGAATAATTCGTAGTCATAAAATGTTTCAATAACAGCAAGTAGATAGATTTCAAAACAAGCAACAAAGCAGGTTTATAAACCAGGATTAAATTAATTCATCAAATTTTGGTAGAACTCGTCAGCTGAATACTCTACATACACAGAAGATATAAGACTGCTAAGTAAATAAGCCATATTGAATTATTCATGCAGAAAGACAAGTGCAAATGTTTTCCAAGTCATGTTCAAACACCACTAAGCGAGTGCTCCAACAATCTGAGTAAGACCAGTCGCCGATCGTCGACACTTCAAACTGCGTAAATCATTTTGAGTGTGTTTGTGGAAGCAAATAAATAGGTCGTACAGAAAAGCGATTGTCTACCCACATGATAGAGCATTTGCCAAAATGTTTGAAAACCGCAGAATGCAAAGTGCCAAAAAACCTCAATAACGTAACATCTTGTGAACTACGGACATGATATCAACGCTGTTAAGTCATTCACTATTGTCAGCAGACAGGCAAACAGGAAGATGCTTGCAATTTCCGGGGAGGCTTGTGCAATTCGAGTTTATAAACCAGGTCTCTGTGTACAAAAAGAGATGGTTGTGACTCTGAACTCTACCTCTTGTTATTATTGATTCATTTAAAACTATCCTTTATCAGTAGGATTATCTTAACTCACTTCAACACTATTATTATTGTTATTATAACCATTACTATTGATATTACTCTGTTTGCAATTCTTGATATATTCTCTAATGATTAATTGTTTATCTAAGTGATGTAACTGAAGCGCAATGCATTCTATCTTAATTTTACCTCACACCCCTCATCCCTCATCTATTTGAACCTGACCTGGAAAACATTCGCACCTGTCTTTCTGCAGGACTAATTCAATGTAGTTTGTTTACTTATCAGTCTTATATCTCCCAATGTAATTTCAAAAGTATACACATATATCCGTGTATGTAGAGTATTCAGTTGACGAGTTCTACCAAAATTTGATGAATTCATTAAATCATCCTGCTTTATTAACCTGCTTTGTTGCTTGTTTTAAATTCGTATCGAGAAATAAATGTTTTCAAGTAGATAGATATTTGCAGTAAAATCTGGTGTTTCGTACAGTTATTCCTCTTTATGAATTTGAATAAGGCAAGAGTATCAGTGATTTTTGCAGATTAATAAACTACCATCATTTATTTTACTGGCTTTTCATCAGCTGCTTACAACCAAAATAAATTATTATTATTATTATTAAATTTACGTATAGAAATGTTTTAACATAATGGCAAATTTAACATGATCTCAGTTGACAGGAGGTTTCGAACTTAATGAACAGTGCTCATTGTGTTATGCTTATACAGTTTTATACACGAAGTTAAAGTTTAAACAAAGTAAATGTATGCATACAATGGTAAAGGAGTTACGTAATAAAGACGACAGAAGCATAAGATGATGAGTAACTATTAACTAATGATAATAATAAAAATTGCGAAATCCTTTAAAATTGTCAACAAACAGAATAGCTTAATTCTCTCCAAGTTTGCCGAGGCAATCTCTGTCAAACACCTGAGACCTGATTCATGTGTGCGCGTGTGTGTTCAGAAGAAAGTAGCTATCAGTCTGTCTTTGCCAACTTGGTAAATGTATGTCTTTACTATCTCTCTCTCCTTTATTTGATTACGTAATCTTTGGCTCTAATCTCACCCCTCCTTGATATAGTGTAATTTTGTTTATCTCTTGTTTCTATGATTTGAGTTGAACTCAGTACATTGTTATCCAATTTATTAGTTATTCACCATTGTACGTACCTCTCGTCTTTATTGTGTAACTCCTTTACCATTGTATGAATACATCTGCTTTGTTTTAAATTCAACTCCTTGTGTAAAATCTATGTAAGCATAACATTAATGAGCACTGTTCATTAAGTTCGGAATCTCCTGTCAACTGACATCATGTAAAATTTACCACTATGTTACAACATTTCTGTACACAAACTTAATAATAATAATAATTTATTTAGGCTGTGAGCAGACGACGATGAGCCAGTGAAATAAATGATGGTAGCATATTAATCTGCACAAACCGTCACTGTCGTTCTTGGTTTATTTAAAATAGGATGAAATATTTAAATATGATTAACATATCACGTAGTCAGAATTATCTTAAAAATGCCACTGGGCAGCTTTACAGATCCAGATTCCATGACCTTGACCTTGGCGGCCTGTTGAATTTTTGGGCCTGCTACCAAAATATCTACATTTTGCATCCAGTTTCCTGTTTACCAGCATACACTTATCACTTAAATATGAATTCTAACAGAATCATTTACTCTCGTAACTTTATTAATAATTTACGACCAAATGACTTTCATATTCCAAAGAAACCAAGAAGGAAACATCGTAGTGGTTGGCAGAGAGCTCTCAAACGTACACCAATACACTTAACTACGGTCCCCGTCATAATGAACTCAAACTGTCGCTCTCTACCAAATAAGATAATGTATCTACAATCCCTGATGTCAACTGATACGTATCATAACACTGCCATAATCGCATTACAAGAAACGTGGTTGCATGAACTGTATGATGACAACCTTATCTCACTAAAGGACTTTATTTTATTTCGACAAGACCGTCAATGTTGTAATAAGAAAAATGGTGGTGGCGTTGCAACTTTTATTCACTCCAAATGGTCTGTCTCAAATAACATCTGCTTCACCTTCTCAAATGACTTCATTGACTGTATAACTGTCAAATGTCGCCCCAAACACCTCCCCAAATATCAACAATTCTATATTACAAACATGTACATTTCTCCTAGCTGCTCTCCATCTGATCTATCTAATTTTGCTGATGAATTCACCATGTTTGCTGCTGCCAACTTCGACAACTCTCTATCCGTTATTACTGGAGACTTCAACACATCAGATTGCTCCTTTCTTGAAGCTCTTGGTCACACAAATATAGTCAAATTTCCCACTCGACTTGACAAAACCCTTGACTTGGTTTTTACCAATGATGAAGGAGTATATGAAACACGTAGACGTTCACCGATACATAACTCCGATCACTGCATTGTCCGCGTTTTGCCAAAAATATACAGCAAAACACATATTAAAATCTTCTCACACCTGTCCACGAAGGCACAACAAAGAAGCTACACATCTGACAACTTACTCAATCTAAGATGCATGTTAAAAGATACCAACTGGGATCTATTCTATGAAAGTACATTAGATGACTCAATCACCAATATAATGGATTATCTCAAGTTCTGCCTTGACATATGCTGTCCCAAACAAACACTGTTCAAACGCCTCGACCGCTTCTCGTCTCCCCATCTCAAACAACTTCGCAGGCAAAAAGAAATGTTATATAAATGCAAAGACAAGTTAGGACTTAAAAAGATAAATGCTCAAATCAAATCTGAAATCAAAAATCTTAATGCTATCTATAACCAAACACTTTTATCATGCAAATCTCCAAACAGCATGTGGAAACTTTTCAATGAAATTACTGGCAATAGTAAGCGATGTAATGTTTTTCCCTCTTGTGATGTTAATGCTCTTAATCTGTCTTTTATACGCTCTCCTTCTACCATAACCACTTCTAATGTTACCAATCTTGTAGCTGATAACTTCCAGGACTTCAATACTCTCGATGTTTTGAAATGTCTTAAAACTCTTAAGCCCTCACATAGTCTTGGCCCTGATGGCATACCTGCATATGTCCTAAAACAATGTGCAGATGCTTTATGTTCTCCTCTAACTAATATCCTAAATGCTTCTTTCTCCGAAAACGTTGTACCTGTTCCATGGAAAGACATTAAAATAGTCCCTGTCCCTAAACCTGGAAATAGCAAGAACGTAAAGTTCAGACCCATCGCCATCACTTCCCCGTTTCTAAAGCTCATGGAAAAACTAATACTTCTTAAACTCGAACCCTCCCTTAAAAGCTTCGAAGACCCCAAACAATTTGCCTACAGACAGGGTAGGAGTACTTTAGACGCTGCAGCCGTCTTACACAACAGTATTGTCTCATCATTAGACAAAGGTGCCAAATATGTCCGCTGCACGTTTCTTGACTTTACTTCTGCTTTCGACTCTGTACCTAGAAGTCTCTTGCTAAATAAGCTCTCCACGACACAAACCGAGTCTTGGGTCACTAAGTGGTTGCATTCCTACTTTTCAAACAGAATGCAGTACACCGTATACAAAGGTCAATCCTCCTCTGCTGTGCTCACTGAATCTGGTGTCCCCCAAGGTGCTGTACTCTCCCCACTTCTCTTTTCATTCTTCCTACATGACCTACCGTCTTCAAATGATATTAACTTTGTCAAATATGCTGATGACCTAACTGTATCTTTACCTGTCAAATGTCAAAATGACTGCTCTAAACTAAATGGCTTCTTATCAGAAATTAGCCAATGGTCCAAGGAAAACGGTCTAACCTTAAACCCCTCCAAATGCCAAACAGTTAATTTCACCTTTAGGCATAAATCTGACCTAAACAAACTGGTTAGCGCTCACGAGGTGTGCAACATAGATGGCACTGAAATAGAAACTAAGTCGGAAATTAAATACCTAGGCGTCACTCTATCTTCTGATCTTTCCTGGTCGTCTCATATCTTGACGATTTCCAAGAAAATATACCGTCTTACCTTCTACATCAAGAAGTTAAGACATTCTGGTGTAACCCAACCCTTACTACTACAATTTGTTAACTCCCGTATTCTGCCTATAATTCTCTATTGCTCCCCCTTAGTCTTTCCTGGGCTATTGAAGAAAGACTATACCTTATTACGTAGGATGTTAAAGGTTGTCAGCAGGGTAAGCAGTTTACCACTTAGCCAGCTTGTTAACATTCTGGTGGACAGGCACATGGACTCATGTGAAAAATGGGCGAAGTCCATTTTATCTGACTCACAACACCCTCTACACTCACAACTCTCCCCATGTATCTCTTCAGGGAAAACAAGAAGTCTATATAGGAAACTATATGCCCGCACTAGTAAGTACAAAAACTCATCCATACCCTACCTAGCCCGTGTTCTGTGTGATAAAGAATGCATCAGGCATGAAACCTTTAACTTATTAATTAGTCACTAGAACCAATGAATCTCGTCTTTCCAACTCACATCATTTATGGGTACAACGTTTTCTCTCTTTTCCATTCTCTCTTTTTTGTCTTTATTTTTGTTAAGTGCTGTTTTGTTTTTCTCTTCCTTGCAAACTCTAGTTAAAACATTCTTGTTCGTTCTTTTACACTCTGTATATCTCGACCATTTTGCTATCGCTTACGCCAGTAAATATGCTAGTAGTATCTACTTTTGTAACACCTTCAAACATTTTAACTTTGGCTTTGCTACCGACATACTAATATGTTGTTGAGATAATCTTTAATCTATGTAGAACTTTATTTATTGTTAAAGTAAAAACTGGATGCAATATTGTAGTAAAATGCTGAGAATTCCATTCTGTATCACAAGTACTGATTTGGAATAAAGCTTATATAATAATAATAATAATAATTATTTCACCAGTAAAAAAACAAGTATGTTAAAACTTATTTAATTGGTAGAACATGATTGGCAATGGAATCCATGATAGCGCGCATTTCGTCCTATTTGGGATTCGTCTCCCAGCTGGATGTACCTGCATTCCCCAATGAGTGATGATGTTCTCACCAATGCCCTAACTGGGCACTGGGTTCAAGCCTCACTGCGGAATGCATGTACATCCAGATGACAAGTCTCAAATAGGGCGAAATGCACGTTATCCTGAATTCCACTGGTAGTCACCATCCACCGATTAACATGATAAGATGTCGTCGAAGTATCTGCACAAGGAGCCGATCTGTCAACTTGACCTAGCACTTCGGTCCAATCAGTCGATCGGAAAATCTAAAATTCAATTGTAAAACAAAGTTAATGAACTAAACATTTTCGCAACAAAATGGCATCAAACCTCTGTCAGCAATAATCACACACTAATTACTTTCCTCAGACAGTTAAAGGTCAGAATGATATTGATTCCCTCAAACAAATTTACAGTCACCAAACAACATATTATCACTATCATTAAAATTAAAGATTAAACTGAAATGAAGACAACTACTAAGAGGTAAGTCAGCAGACGGTATTGCAAAAGCCAAAACAATGATATACAGTCTGGAAGAAGAGATAGAAATTACAGAGTCAAATTGAAATATCCATATAAGTAACAATAACGCAAAATAGATTGCCCAAGAACATGTTTGGCTGGAGCATTTCATCAAGAGGTGACATCGGTTAGAGAACCGTTAGAAAACCTGAGAGTACAGGATAGCCAGCTGTTTCGCCCCAGTTTAGCGCTCATCAATGCACGCGCACACTGTGGTACAAATCCAGGACCTTCTGGTTACAAGGCTAGCGAGCTAGTGGATCAATAAGCCACTGAGACCCAATCCAACGGCCAGCCCATGGATTCTAATTTCTGCCAATTCATAACATGGCGTGACCATTTCACCATATCTTCTTTGATAAGTTACTGCCTCACCTTCAACCTGCTGTATCCTACTGGTCACGGCTTCCCACTAGAACCCCAGGTAACTAACTGCCTACCTGAATAGGGCCAGTCGCTAGTGAGCATCAGAATAATTTTCAAGTATTGGCTTTGTAGAGGTTTTGTTTGATTGGTTCAAGGATTTCATTATGTCATTAATTGGCAGGTGTTGGAATTCAAGGGTCGTTGGATTAGGTCCCAGTGGCTTAATGGTCTACGAGCTTGCTAGCCTTGTAACCAGAAGGTCCTGCGTTCGAACCCTGTGGTTTGGGTGCGTACTGATGAAGAGTCCCGAACTCGCCTGACGAAACAGCTGTCCAGTGGTTCTCTTAATGATGTCAGCTCATGACAAAATCCTGTGACCTATTCCCAGGACAAGTCCGTGTGTGATCAGATTGTTCGAAACGTGTTGTGCGCATATACACAATACACGATTCAGAAAAATTACATCTTCTTATCGCTTTGTCTAATAACAATTATAATCCTCTTATAAGTAAATTATTTTCTCATAATCCTTTTTAACTAGATATGATGAGATGCTTAATTTGTTATCGAACATTCAAGTTTGATACAGCCATTAAACACGTGGAAATCTGTTTGCGTAAATCACAAACGAACAAAGATAATGGAATGAATTCCCTCGGTTCTACAGTTGCAACGGGTTATTCACCTGTAACGATTCGAGCGAAACAAGTAAGCGAGAAAAGTTCACGATATAGTGCATTATGATTTCTTTCATTCACATAAAAGATAAATTTATTTGATGTATATATGTATATCATACACGTTTTTTAAATTCCTTTCGTTTTCTGAGCAATACACAGGGCTTCACCGTAGTGGACTAAATTTTCAGTACTGACCAAGGAATTTTAAAGAGTGGGGTCGCTATTCACACACCCATACTTTTTCTGTTTTTTTCTTACGGAGTCAACTACCAGCTAAGTAAGGGTGTGGGAGTTCGTCGACCAAAAATCAAACCGCCGACGATGTATGCGGTTGCTAAGTCATACTACCATTGAGACATCAAGGCGCACAGGGAAACAGTGTTACTACCTGTCTGAATAAAAAAGCTTCGAACACATTCACTACTCATATTCACGCTATCAATTGTAACTACACAAAATCGATACTCTGTTTTTATGGTGTCCTCATTCTTTCTTCTGATCTGTTTTTAGGGTAGTAAAATATCTCAGATGATCAGGACAGGTTTTGAATCATTTCCATTGTGTGTTATTAGTTGATTCGATAAATGAACCATCGGTTGACACTCTCGCCCCCCACTTTGTTACAACAGGTTTTAAGACTGTCACCTTGTGGTATTCTATTGTATGGCTGTAGGTAACTCCATGTAATACTAGAGATGAACGATTTTCTATCTTCTTAGGATCAACTAGCCCAACTTCTTCCGAGGTTTAGTGTACCACTAATCCAACTGAACCTATTTTTCTACCCTAACTTATGTGTTCGATCCCATTATCCTCTATTATTATTACTACTATTCCCTTTGGTTCCAAGTAGAACATAGGGCTTCAACAGCATATCCGTTTTGGTATGTTTTCTGCTGTCCTTTTTATCTGAGTCCGCGATTACCCAACAGGTTATTTGACTTTCGGTGTGCAGCCAGAGAAGGAGGCAGCTGTTGGTAAAAGTCTATAACTTGTTGGAAATCCTTTTCGTGACACACGTACAGAAGATCTGACTAACTTCAAATTTGTGTTGAAAATCCTAATTTTTCTCTTTATGTCGCAAAATGCAGAAGACTCCCAGATTGTTTTCAGGCTGATGAAGGTGTATCTTGCCTTTCCGATTTTGGCAGGTGCTGACATTTTCATCCATTCGGACTACCTGTGGCTGCTGTTGTTGGTTGGTTATCTTCGTCCGCTCCATCTTCTCTATGTTTACCTGGAGTCCTCTCTTCGCTGCTTCCCTCTTCTGCCAGTTTGTTGGTTTTCGCCTACAGTGCTTCGAGTTTCTGTGCCACCAAACATAAATCATCTACACGCGAAATCCAGATATTCTAAGTCTCCTCATCGGTGGTGCAGAGTATTCTTGTCTTCTCAGCCCCATGCATAGTTTGACGCATAATCCAATCGACCACAATTAAAAAAATATCATCGGTAATAATAGGCAGCCTTGTCTGTAGTAACTTCAAATGCCTCTCTGAGTTTATCGTTGTGAATTACTTGACACCTGACATTTTCATATAGCTGTTAAATAAGGCTGATAAAGAATTGGACACTTCACACCATAGTTTTGAAGTAGTTTCCAAATTACCTCTCACTCAGTGCTGTCGAAAGACCTTTCAAAGTCAGTGAGGTTCAGGTAGAGGTTTGACTGCCATGATATCCTTTGTTCAACGACGATGCCTAGGGTTTCACTTTGATCAGTATATGATTTGCCTTTTCTGAATCCAGCTTGTTCCGGTTTGGCGGAGTTCTACATCCAGTGTATCCTTTATTGTCTACATGATGACGAAACTTAGTACTCAACTTGAAGTGGACAATAGCATTATTCCACTCCAGTACTTGCATAGGCCTAGGTCGCCCTTCTTTAGCAGTTTCACAAGATAGCTTTTCTTCCAATCGATAAGCACCTTTCCTTCCTTTCAAACGATTTGCAATAATGCAATGGGCACAACTGCCGCAGTCTCTGAGTCCGTTTTCAGTGTTTCGGAGGGAACTCATGCTACCTTTCCGACTGGACTTCAGTAGTTTGATCACATTCAGGGTTTCTTCTTTCGTTGATGGTTTTGTGTCCACTGGCAGGCAGTTCTGTGCGTGCTGTTGGCGGTGGTATTCCTGGGCTAGTTGCCGCTGATGGTCAATTAAAAATGTCCTTTAAGTGATCAGCCCAGTCTTTTATTTTTTCCTCCTCCTTAGTGATTAGATTCCGTTGAACATCTTATTTTATGGGTTTCATCTGAGTTGGTCTCGTCCTTAATAAACACTCTGTTATCTCATATAGTGTTCTGAGGTCTCTTTTACCTGCGGGCTGCCTGTTCTGCTTCAGTTACCAGCCAGTGTGTGTGTCTTAGAATCATCTTGTTATGTACTCGTCGCTAAATCGTTATGGACTGGTCGAGAAACTAATAGTCCTGACGCAAGAAGGCGGAAATCAGAAGACCACTAGGTTTGCGATGATACTTCTATTGTCCAAACACAAGGAGAAGCAATAAGTGGTATCACACCAAAAATAAGTAAGTAAGTGTAAGTCACACAAATTGTGAATGCAAAATATGTATACGAATGTCCAGACAAAGGGTGTGAACAAATCACTAGACAGTCTTAACATGAATGGCTAATTATAATGAAGTATCGATCCATATATACATAGCGAAATATAGCAGACATGTCAACAACCACCATATATGGATATATGTCACTAAGCAACGGACTGTCAACAAACACTCATATTATATATAATATAAGGGGAATATACATTGTTAAAGGAGACAGGTTCATACAAGTGAAATGGACACAGACTAAGCGAGCAAACAGAAAGAGAGACCAACATACACACACATAAATATATATATGTGGATACATATCACATCTTTTGTCTTTCCCAGCAATCTTCTTTACTTCTTTATTCACTGCAGTTTAAATTGAACTCAGCTTCTTCTTTTGTTGCCCATCTTTGCACTGAGTCGTCTTCTCTTTCACCATTCTTCTCTTCTCTCTTCTGTTAGCTTCTAGGTAGGTGTCCGTTGACAGCCATTCCTTGTCTTGTCTGTTTTGTTCCCCACTAGAACAGTTGTGCACGTTTCCTCGAACATCGCATTCCCAGAGTTAGTTTCACGCAGGTTTCCTCAGTGATAGTGTCTCAGGTCTGTTTTGAAGAAATCCCTTGTAGTTTAGTCCTTCAGTTTCTGAATGTTGAACTTGAATTATGGTCTGTCTCTAGCTGTTTTGAAGGATTCCAGCTTCACCCTGAACGTTCCTTGAACTAGACGATGGTCAGAGCCCATATAAGCTCCCCTGGCTGGCTGCGTCTCCACTTTCTTCAGTAACATTGAGATAAAATCTACCTGGTTTTTGGTAAGCCCATCAGGTGAAATCGATGTTGATTTGTGTACTACCTTATGTTTGTACACGCTGCCTCCGATCACCAGATCATCGAAAGCGCAGAAGTCTGAGAATAGTTCTCCGTTCTGATTCGTTTCACTGAGCCGGAGCTTTTCGACCCATGATGAGTTCTCTTCCTGTATTATCTGCTCCCAGATCAGCTGGCATACATAAGGATTTTGATATCTCCATTTTGATGTCGTCCAACACTGTTTTCCATCAAAATCGCCCTTCTCTTGTTCCATGTTGTTTGTAGAAGCTTAGCATTAGATAAGTGTAACCTTCCTTCTTCTTCAGTTGAATCTTGCTGTCATGACTCCATTATGGGTGAATTTTGTTTTCATAAAGTCTCATAGCGTTATACAGTAATGTAACACTCACAGTAACACTGTGAGACTTCATCAAAACGAAATTTACCCATAATGGAATTACACTCTATCACAATGCACAAGTTTTATTCTTATATCATTGCTGTCATGATCCTGGAGGAAATTGGTTCCCACTGCATTAGGTCTTCGGCTGCCGCTGGTGACATCGTGATAGCCACTGACTGCCTAAGTGTGTTCGTGATTTTCGTCTGGGTGACCAGAGTAGATTACTTACTCACCAGTTGATAATTTTAACAGTTGACTACCATTCCATCTACTCTCGCAGATTCCCAGCTTTCTATCTTCTCATTTCTTTGGTTACCTGGGCAATCTTCCCAGACTCATACATTGTACGTACATTTCGAGTCCCTGTTCTTATGCTTGCTTTTGTCAGGAGAAGACGCATCGCCTGGCTTCCCTTACCACCGTGTACAAGACTAATTTCTGATTGATTCTGTATGCACACATAATATGTGGTTTTCATTCCGTCGCCGGATGGAATCTTTATTACTGGAAAAACAGTTGTGTCCTTAATATTTTCACGTAGATAAATAATTACAGAAATCAGTCAGGCTGAGAGAGTGTAGAAGTCTTAAACACTGGAAATACGAACAATGAATGGTACGAAATCCCCTAGTAGCCTGAGATTAATATCACTTCGCAATTAACAGGCATATGAATGTTTCTTTTCTTCTATTCCTTTACGTCCCCAGTGGAGCATAGGGCTTCAGGTTAGAGCTCTGAAGTTTCAATAGCAGTAGTGTTTATTTTCTACAAGATAGGGTTGTTAGCCTCATGCCCATCCTTCTCTCCCATTACCAGTCTTATCACCGGCTTAGCGAGGTAAAGGAGTGCATCGGCGGGGGATCGAACTCCGAACCACCTGCGTGGTTGGCGAGCAATCTATTGCTGTGCCACCGACGCACATACGAGTGTAGATCGAATTATCAATCAATGAAGAATATTTCACAAGATCAAAGGGTGAAATATAAGACAAACATGGCGACCAATAAAAAAATACCGATAAATATAACGATAAGAAAATCACCACGGACAACCACTCCCGGTCTATGTCAATATGAATGGTAGGATTTTTCATTCATGAAGGATTCCTAAATTTCTCTGGATTTTCAAGTCAACATAGAAGATGCTATCCAGAAGGACGATGAAATCTTCACGATTAAACTATCTACCTCAGTGAAGTCAAAAACAGTATAACAATGCAAAATAGTATCGCATAAAAATTTATCTACAAAACTGAGAGATTTCAAGAATATACAAATAACTAGAATTAAAACAATTAGTCCCTTTGATAAATTTTGGAATAAGGCATTTAGAAGACAAATTTCACGAGATGATATATTCATTTCGTAGTTTCTTTACAACTGCTTTACAACTAACATGCTTGGTTCACAAGAATCAAATAAAATAAAATGGACGACAATTACTCAGTCACATACAACAAAAGTACATACTAACGACCAATCATATTTAAATAGGTCAAGTAGTCAGTCCATGGTAGGCGAAGATTGAAGTCTATTGTTTCTTATACACACAGTTTAGGCTGTATGTGGTTAATCCAACAAAGTGTTTCCATCACCTTCAATAACCAACCTTGAATTAGAGTTATGTGGTGAAATAATTGTGAAACAGTCATTAATATTGATTTTGTCACCTGACACATTAATAAGTGCTTTGCAGGTGAACTTTTAGATACAGATTGAAATATGGTCCACAGAATTTCATCCTTTATTTGTTGGTACAGGGATTGAAAATGTTCGGCGTGTGAGGGAAAAAGATGAGGCATAGAATGTGAATTTGATGGCTGACCGAAGTTTTTGAACTGTCAACTGCATATTCTGGTCACCCTTAAATAGTAGGTTGATAAACATAGCTTTCCTTGGTACAGAAGCTGTCTTTTCTCGATATGGTCTATCCTTACTGTGACAATTGATAACAATTTTGGATATAACTGAATGTATATGTCGAAGCTCATCCATCAATGTGTCGCTCGTACATAATTTCCGTCATTGAAGGTGATGGAAGCAATTTGGGGGATTAATCACATACATCCTAAATTATGTGTACAAAAAACAATAGACTTCAATTAATGTCGCTTAGCATGGACTACTTGACCTATTTAAATATGATTAGTCATTAGTATGTACTTTTGTTTTACATATAACTGAGTAATTGTCATGCATTTTATTTTATTTGATTATTGTGTACCATGTTGGTTGTAGAGCGATTGTAGAGAAACTACGAAATGATGTCATCAACTCGCGAAATTTGTCTTCTAAATGTCTTATTCAAATAGAAATAATTCACATCTAAGATAAAGTAACAATTTACATAGTTACTGCTAGAAATCAACGATTAAGTAAATGTGACTATGGTATGAATCAAACTTAATTTTATGTAAGGATTGTTCCAGGAACAAAAGGACACTACAACGCAATGACACTGTTGTAACTAGTTCCATAAATAAAGAATGACACCTGTTTCGAAGGTAGTTAACCGTAGAATCCGTGACTCATGTTTTGTTGTGCTTCGGAGTTGTCGACCGGATTTAGTTCCTCCTGTAGCAAGTCATGTCGTTCCCACTACCCACTAATTCAAGCGCCAAATAGCTATCCACTATCATTCACTGAGCAGAAGATACATCTACCTCACAAGTCCAGTAAAAACAACAAACGCACGTCTTGGAATCTACTTCTAAACGCCTTCTGGAAAAAAGTGACTTTGCGGTTATTCATCGTGCATCAGACCATCCGCTCAAGGATCTTATTATATATCAAAGTGGGGTTGACAAGTTCATTTGAAAAAATATAGACAGGAAATCACTAATGGATAGAAAAAAGATACCTCGATTTCTTCTACTAGATTGTATAAACTGCTAAATTTTCAATCGCGTAACTCTACCTTCTAGCTTTAAGCTCCAGTAGCAGGGGTGCTGCTTTTTATGACGTTGGGGTGGCTAGCCTCACATTCAGCCTTCCTTTTTCACAACGCTTACAATTAACTAGCTAAGCGAGGTTTAAGAATGCGTCAGCTGGGAATCGAACCCTAAACCAAGCGAGTAGTTAGTGAGTATTCTACCACTAAACTATTTATGCATAACTACTGGACATTTCATTATTATACACAGAATATTATGCCATTAAAGCCCTTGTTTTTTATTATTATTATTATTTTAAGTATATTGAAAACCTGCAGAAAAGGAGAACTAATAGCTTTACAACCTCTGGTGTATGTGTCGAACCGAAGAATGAAAATCAAAAAAGAAAATCAGAGACAGAACTTCGTAAGTAATTTTGATTCGCATTTATTGTGTTCATTATTAATATTATTATTATTATTATTATCCCCTTGGGTTCCCAGTGGAATGTAGGACTTCAAAAGCACATCTCTATTTTGGCCAGCAATCTTCAGTCCTTTATAGCAGATCCCAACAATGTACATAAACTCCCATCTTCTTCTTAGAAGATCTCCACCGTGCTACTCTCACACCCATATCCAATTCGTCTTTTTCCACTAGGGTTTTACTCGAGCGATAGCCTGGCTTACAGTATCACTTAACGGTTTGCTCAGAGTGTTTCTAACCCATCCCCATCTTCTTCAGAATATATGTCCAGTATTTGGTCTGTTCCCAGGCTTCTTGTTGCTGATCCTTTCTTGCCGGTCATCTAATCTTCAATATGGAGCCAGTGAAAGGGACAGCTGTTGATAAAAGTCTCTGTTAGGTTGTTGGAAATGCTTTTCGTAACGCACCAAGCATCCCTTCAGTATAGAAGAACTGAATTAACATTGGTGTTGAAAAACCAGATTTTGTTCTCTATGCTGACTTCAGATGATCTCCAGACTCGTTTCAGATTGACGAAGTTCTAGCTGGTCATTTCAATTCTGGTCTTGACATCATCATCATCATCATCATCATCCATACCATCTGTCTGTTTTCGAAACGATGCTGCCGAAGGTGGAAGAAGTGACTTTCTTCAAATTTCTCCCTTTTGATAGTGATTGGTGCTTGTCTGTTTTGTTGTTTTTGGTTAGTGGTTATGCACCTTCATCACACCTTTGTCTTCTCTGTGTTCACTTGAAGTCCTGTTTTTTTTTCTGCCTGCTTAATTTAGCCAATATTGTTGATTTTCACCTTTTCAAGTTTATGTGGCACTTCACTCAAATCATCTGAGGAATTCAGATCTTCTACAATCTTCTTGTCTCTTCAATGTATCCCCCCCCACCTTATTTTTCGCTTCCAACGCTCTTTTCCATGATCCAGTCAACTACAATCAGAAATATCATCGATGACAGTAAGCAGATAGCCTTATTTTACTCCTGTCTTCACTTCAAGAGTTTCGCTAAGGTTTTCGTTGTTGATAGCTTACAGTCCTAAACTTCTTTGTTAAAATAGTAGAACAGTTGAACAACTAAATGTGGTAATCGAAATCCTTCTGTGAACATTTACTGATTTGTACACTCTCAAAAGTTTAGTACTGTATGAATGATGCGTCAGTAAATAACTTCGCATAAATGTATATTTCATGGAGGATTTAATCATGAGCTGATATCAGTTAGAAAACCACTGGAAAACCTGGAAGTACTGGACAGCTGTTTCGTCCTTGTAACCAGAAGGTCCTGGGTTTGAATCTCGGTAGGTGCGTACTGCTGAAGAGTCCCGGACTGGGACGGGGAAACAGCTGTCCAGTACTCCCAGGTTTTCCAGTGGTTCTCTAACTGATGTCCCCTCATGACTAAATCCTCCATGCAATCAAACAAAATCCCTACAAAAAACCAATACTTGAAAACTAATCTGTGCTCACTAGTGACTGGCCCTATTCAGGCAGTTAACCTGGGGTTCTAGTGGGAAGCCATGACCAGTAGGGTACAGCACGTTCAAGATGAGGCAGTAACTCACCGAAGAAGACATTGCGAAGTGGTCGCGCTATGTCGTGAATTGGCAGAAGTTAGAATTCAAGAACCATTGGATCGGGTCCCAGTGGCTCAATGGTCTACGACCTCGCAAGCCTTGTAACCAGAAGGTCCTGGGTTCGAATTCTTGCTGTGGGTGCGTACTGCTGAAGAGTCCCAAACTAATCCCAATGCTTGAAAAATAAATGTATATGTTAACTCATAAACGTATACAGAAGGGAAATAACAAATATGGCAAAACGAAAATGACTAAAAGTATTTGCTTTATTATTTCAATATAGAAAAAATCCCCATTTAGACATTTAGAAAGCAGAAAGATTGAGTGAGGAAATATTTACTTTTCAGGTAGATTCTTACCTCTGGCTCTACTCTAATATATTATGTATAGCATTTTTACTACAATACACAACAATTTTCTATAGTTTGGTTTGTAAGGGTTAATTTTGTTTTTACGAGTTGATGACGGATTGATATCATTTTATTTTTTATTTATTTTTAATTTACAGCTTGATTCCACACTGTATTTTTGGTACAAGTATGGATATCGGTAGCCCAAATTTTGCAGGCCGACCATAGATATCAGGTGTGCGTCGGTGCGGGCTCGAACCCCGGACCATGTGCATGGTCGGCGAGAGTCCTAACCACTGTGCCACCGATGCATCAGTTAGAGAACCATTGAAAACCAGCTGGGAGTACTGGACAGCTGCTGTTTAATCCTAGTTTGGGAATCATCGGCAGTACGCACCCACCACCACTGTTCAAACCCAAGGACCTTCTGGTTACAAGGCAAGCTCATATACCATTCAGCCACTGGTACCTGATTAAATGGCTCATGAATTCTAACTCCTATCAGTTCGTGATTTAGTACGACCCTAATTACCGATGATTCTCAAACTAGGATAAAACAGCTGTCCAGTACTCCCTGGTTCTCAATGGTTCTTTAACTGATATTGATTCGTGATAAACTCGTAAAAACATAACAATTTACCAGTCTAGTGGCACTGATATGTTTGTTTACAATAATTAGTCAGTCCCAACGTGTTAATGGGGTGATAATTAACGAAGAAAATTAATACAAGCAATTAAAAGGTAGAAATGGTTACAACACTTGGATTGCGTAGTGCATAATTTTGGAATAATGAACAGTAATTAAGAAATAAGCGTGTGCACAAGTTAATTACGTAACAGATTGTTCAAGAAAATAAAACTATTTGGACAATGACAACTCGTAACTAAGGATGAAGTGGTCATAAGGATAAGGTAATTTCACAAAGCTAACATGTAATTAAAGATGAAGTAGCCAGAAAAATTAATTAAATAATTTGGACAATTATAATTTTTATAATTCTTTAGAGGTTTGAAGGGTAGGGAGCGAAGTAGTTTGGTTTATACATTCATGTAACGATAGCCAAGGTAAGGAAATTGGCAGTACAAGTTTCTTCTGAACACACAGGTTTGACTTCTTTATGTGGATACCAATTGTTTTAGCTGTATGTAGAAGACGAACTCATAAAGCAAAATTAAGATTAGTCGGAATGCGATAAATAATTTTAAATGTTGTACTAACTTCAACCTTACACTCACTATCTACGATGTGTGCTAAAATAGAGCTAAGAATAGATCTTGTTTGTCCCCTGCTTAACAATGCTGGATGATGTTCGGAAATACGATGATAAACCTGCCTAATTGTACTCCCATTCTAGCTGGCTCCGCAGCTTCAGTCAAACTGGCAGATACACATAGAAGAGGCAAATTTAGGTAGTTTATTCTTATTTCTCGAACGTAGAATAGGGGTGGCTGGGAAGAGAAAACATACCTCCGCTGCATAATAAGCTCTTTTAACTGCATTCTTCAGGCGCTGTGTTGTTATTTCGCCGATGTTGTCACTGAGGAACTGCAGTTTTTCGAACGGTGGTTTTTTCGGAACTGTTGCCAAACTGACTCTCCTAGGTGCTGAATTCATATTTTTCTCAATGAATTTATCTGGATAACCATTTCTTCTAAATAATTCTCTAATAATCTTTAGCTCCTCACTGAGGTATTCATCTGAACAGATTAACCTAGCTCTATGAACCAGACACTTAACTAGGTGACGTTTATACTTAAAAGGTACAAAACTCAAAAAATGAGTGTATTGACCTGTTGTTGTAGGTTCCATATACGCACTCCTTCTTAATGTTCGATCTTCTTTCCTTGCTATGAAGACGTATAGGGTGAGATACTGTCGTTACTTTCCTTCTATATGGTAAAGTTTATTGCTGAAAGGGCATCATTAAACTTGTCACTATATTCCTTTACGTTCCCATTGGAATGTAGACTGGCTTCAAGCCAGATCTTTGAAGTTGCGGTAGCAGTGGTGTTCATTTTATACGAGATTGGGGTTCCTAGCCTCATTCCTAACCTTTCCTCTTTACCAATCTTATTACCGGCTTAGAGAGGTAAAGGAGTGCATCGGAAGGGGAAAAAACCTGAACCATATGCGTGGTTGGCGGGCATTCTACCGCTGTGCCCCTGACACCAGGTGAAAATATGCAGGGTAAAAAATAATTCAATGAAGAGTAATGAGGGTTTTCAGAATTTGAAGGATCACACCTACACCACGTATAATCACTGGTATTTATGAATTCTGAGAATCCCCTAACCAGACCATCTACAACTCCACATATGGTTCAAACAGAAAGTAGAAAATTTTAGTGGAACAGTGACGGTTTTCTTTGCCTTTTTTTCCGGTTTCTTTATTTGATCGGCTGAAGAAATACAAAAGAGACAAAAGTTGATTTTCTTTGGAAGGTTGTCCTATATTCTTTAGTTTACTTTGAAGGAGGAGTCTGTTGATTTGGAAATAACAGTGCTGAGGTGTTCGATTGTCAAATTCCTCTTAAAGCCATTGCTGCATTTCTGAAAACATGAGGAATAGTTTTGTTGAACGCCTTTAGACAGGCATTCAAGTCGAACGACCAATATACCTGGCTCTATAGGAACAGGTGAACTGATATATGCACATATAAGGTAGTCAGGAACGAGATCTTGTCCTTACGACATCTGAATATCAATGGACAATTGAAAAACACTGCCCTTAGCTTTGTTGAGATGAATGCTCTTCTCAGGGATGCTGAAATTCTTCTCCTAAAGATATCGCAGGTTGCGTCTTCTTTGAAGTCTAGGTTCATGTAAAATTTCTCTTTCGGAACAAGTAATGTAAGGTCCCTCTGAACTTTTCGTTTGATATTCATGTCAATGAATCTCGGTGTCCATCCATTTCGGATGAACATTTCTTTCAGAAGGTCTAGTTCTTCTTCCCGGACGTCAGGGCTACATTTGCATTGGATCCCAATGGCAAGAGATTTAACTAAATTTCGTCTTCATTCAACATGTACTCAACTGTAGAAGGTATCAGCCAACCGTTTCATGTGGCTTTCCTATGGATTGACCTTCTTAAGGTTCTATCGGCGTCGAGTTCTAGGTAAACAGGGGAAATCAATCGACGAAGTCGTGAAGCTACAAAGACTGAGATGGTTAGGACATGTGTTACGTATGCCAAGCCATCGCCTCCCTCGACGAGCAATGTTAGCGGATATAGGGTCAGGCTGGAAAAAAGCTGGCGGCGGTCAAACAAAAACTTGGCCTCACCAGTCAATGAAATCCACAACAGTTGGTCTAAGCCACGTAGAAAGGTGTAGACTTCCTGAATGGCTGGGGTCCTCGGGACGGTGAAAATCTATGGTTGGAAACAATTGGTGACATGGCTCAAAACCGTTCTCAGTGGCGCAGATGCATCCACTCCCTGTGACTTATTATCTTCAATGAAACTGTTTTGTATTTCTTTATTACTCCTTTGTCTCACACCTCTGCTCACTGTTTCTATTATGCTTTTCTTGTACTTTCTTCTCTTGCTTCGCGTGCTACACGGAATGTGGCGACTTGAACTTCCGCACATTTGTGCAAAGTTCTATGTCGAAAACAGACAGAGACAGACAGACTATCAGCTCTGCATGTTTTCCATTTCAAGAGTGAATTCTGATTGCTGGGTAGCAGTTGTGGAATAGCTGTGACAGCCGACTGAGGTCATGATTGTTATCACGCATGATAAAAATGTCGCCTATGTATCTTGTATACAGCCGAATATTATCAACATTCGACTTTAATGGACCTTTCTCTAGTCTTACCACGGACCAGTCTGCTAGTATATTCCTATAAGGCTAAAAATCTTTGAGAAATATTCCTGTCGAGTTCGGCATAGCATGACTGAATGAAGTCAGCATAGTTCATTGTATGATGTCTAATTGACTTAATTATTAGAATATATTTGATTTCGTCGTAGGCTTTCCAGAACCACAACAGATACATAGATGCTTAAGGAAACAACATAACTAGTGAAGGAAATTTCCTTTTTTCAACGATTCATTTTCATAAGCTGATGTGAAATCGTAATTGTCGGTATTAGACGGTTGGAGGCGATCGGTGGGAAGCCTTACCTGGGCCTAGGTTTCATGCTAGTTGGCAGTCACCATCAGTCAGCAAAACGTATCTGCAACCTCGAAGGAATCCATGTCCCTTCTGAGATTCGAACCCACGTCACCCAATGCTCCAGTCACAAACGTTACCACTGTGTGATTCGGGCTCACGACTGAGCTCCAAATAGGACTGTATTGGATATTCTGATTGAAGAACAGTCAGTGAATAGTGTAGTGTGTCATGTCAATTGGTTGGTGCAGACTGAATTCTATCAATCAAGGCTTCCTGACAACTGCCTCCAACCATCTAATATTAACATATCACAGTACACCGTAATGACGAGCCACCTAGAATGCTGGCCACTTTGTAAATTTGAATGATAGGATTCGATCTCAACCAAAGAAAGGACTAGACACACTATACTAGTCGCTGACTATTCTCCAATCAAAGATTTGTTATCATCAAGAATTGACTTGTAAGGGTTAGATTTGTTTCTCGAATTTGACCACGAATCGATATCAGATAAAGAACCATTGAAACCCCCCAACCAGGGAGTACTGGACGGCTGTTTCGCCAGCCTAGTTTGGGAATCATAGGCAGTACGCCTTCAAGCCCATGACCTTCTGATTAAAAGGCTAGCTCATATACCGACCATTCAGCCAATGAGACCCGATCAAACGGCCCATGAATACCAACTTTGCGCAACCACCTACTAATGTCATAGGCGGGAAATCCATCCTCACTCCCGACTAAATGGACCTCACTGGTCATGACTTATCACTAGAACTCCAGGAAACTGTGTCCTATAGCAAGTTGCTAGCAAGCATCAGATTTAATAAGCTTTTTTATAATGTCCTTATTGAGATGCAATGTTATCAGGGAACAATAATAGAATGATAATTAAATAATGGTGACAAGAATAGTGATAATACTAAACTTACATAATTAAAAAGAAGCAAAATTATAGTAAGAACGTTACTCTAGCCATCCATCACCAAAAATCTCAATTGTTACTAAGAAATCTCTCCACATGAACCTGGAATTCAAAGATGATATCGAAGCAGAAATTCTCAGAAATCACCTTTCTAAATGTCTGAAGAAGACATTTCAAGCAGACACCTTATGCATCAAGTTCTCCAGCACAGAGTTAATCTAATCAAACGTTTAGAATAGGATATCGCTTTTAGCCACCTCAATGTGTACTTATAAGTTTACTTGTTCGTGTCGAGCAAAGTATATCGGTCATACGCAACGTCAAGTCTACAAACCTTTTATGAAACACTGTCCAACTTGGCTAGTCAGCCAGAGGAGAAAAGAAAAATACTAGCAGCTCCATCCTTGAACACCCTGTCAACTCTGGACATCAGTTACCTCCGCATGAATGCTTCACAGTGCTTCACGGAATTGTTCAATATCGTATGGAAGGACTTCAAATATGCCATCCATACATAGTTGATACATTAGCTATTCGGGATTTGAAATCAGATCTCTGCATCCGAAAGCACTACACAGATATTCACCAACCCTATCGTGCTTAGCTGGAGATTATACACGAATTATATATCCATAGATATTACTCATTTAGTAATCAGTAGTATGCTTAAAACTTCTCACTTATTGCTAAATAAATTGTACATTACAATATAGAATTTGACTTGAATTTTGTTTTTAAATTTTCCCTCTTTCAATTCAAAAGTGAAACTGAAGAAATCATGAAGAAACCGTGAAGAAGCAGAAGAAGAAGAAATATAGGAACTGCGGAATTCACTGTGCCATTCTTTGTTATTACTTGTATTCGTTCTACGTAACAGAAATAAAATAAATAATAATAACCATTATGATGATTATTGTCTTTATGGAAGTGTGGGTGCAGGCGTTCACTACTTCCCAGCTACTCACACCGTGGAAGTTAACTTCTTGGAATGCTTAAAACAGAAACAGCATCGGTATGCTTCAGATCGATTATACCTGACTTGCCTGGATTGGAGTTATATGTTTATTGAAATCTTACCAACGGACCGAGGACAGCCAAAAAGTAAGATAGGATGTACATTTTTCGTAGTCAACCTTTTCTAAATAGCTTTTCACTCCTCAGAAATGAAGAGGTAGCATACCAGACCTGCTGATTGTAAGTTTACTGTTGTTACACATCCCTATTCACCAGTAGTACGACTTCACCTACAGCTTTCTGTTTAAACGCTATCCAAACGACCTTTCTGGTATGATAAGACACCTGAAGGAATATTTGTTCCAGCAAGTGATATGCAAGCCAGGTCATTGTGTCAATGCAGTATCTTTTGGATTAGTGACGATCGGCATATATCCTTTCAAAGGCTATTTTTTAACATGCCTAATGAAAGTTTTTAAACTCCTGAAACTGTCTGAATGGTTTCAGCATAACAGAACTTTGCACAGAAGTATAACAATTCAAGTTGCCACTCCCAATACATGCAGCGCACAAGGGAAGAAGTCACACGAAAAAGCAAAGCGAAGAGTGAATGCATCTTCGCCAATCATTGAGAACGATTTCAAGCCATGTTATCAATAATCTCACTAATCACTGATTCTAAGAATCCCGACGATTCCAACAGGGAAGCTTACACCTCCTTACGTGGCTGACTCGTTTCGTTTTCGTTTGACACCCCCCCTAGCCCTTCTACAACCTGATCCTATGTCAGCTAACATTTCCCATCGAGAAAGGCAATGACTACACATGCCCTAGCCCTTTCAGTAAATTTAGGTTCACATCATCGATTGACTCACCTTTCTAACCTAACACTCGACGCCTAACCTCATTATTATACGAATTAATGCAGAAGATAGAATGTAAACATCAATGATCACCGAACACTAGTCCTTTCATTTCGTCCATTTTCAAGGTTCATGCCTCGTAGCTATGAATAAGGAGAGGGTGGAGTGCTATGCAGTACACATGTCGTTTGATCGATGATCAGCCGGACGCCATCACGTCCACGCCATAGATAGCGAAATGTGGCAAATGCCAGACAAGTCTTTTCTATGGGCGGGGGTGAGATTTCGTCAGAAACCAGTCAGTCAGAGCTGGCTAATGCAACTTGCTAAATTAGTGCAGTGATTAACACATTCTCTAATCGATGTCAGCTCATGATGAAATCCTGCAACCAATCAAAACCCTGCAAACCATCACATGAATACCTGCGTCGGTGGCACAGTGGTTAGGACTCTCGCCGACCATGCACATGGTCCGGGGTTCGAGCCCACGCCGATGCACACCTGATATCTATGGTCGGCCTGCAAAATTTGGGCTACCGATATCCATGCTGAAAATTCCATACTTGTACCAAAAATACAGTGTGGAATCAAGCTGTAAATCAAAAATAAAATAAAATAAATAAAATAAATTTCAATATTACCATAATTTATTCAGAACAAAATATTTGGAGCGAACAATTGTTTTCAATAAATTCTTCTTATTCAGGCTCTACAATTATAAATCCATTCAGCATTTACACATACAATAGCCAACCAGTAAAGGCAAATTAGAATCATATCAGAAATATGTATTATGGAACAAGTACAAAATATGATGAAACAATAGTCAGTTAGTTTTTGAATATACATGGTCAATAAGAACACGAGATGAAATTACTTGATGTGGACGCTTACCACTGAAGGGTTTCAAACCAGGAGGAAACCGCTGTTCAGTACTCCCAGGTTTCCCACCGGTTCTCTAACCAATGTCAGCTCATGAGAAAATCCTTTAAAAAGGATACATAGTTGATAGTGATGTCTTCTACCCACTTAGCGAAACTGACCTCAACGTTTGTTGCTTAAGGCCATATTACCTCATAAAACTCAAATGAACAGAAATAAATATAACCAAGGTGTCAGTGGAGACATTATGCTACAAAACTGATGAGGAAAGCGTGTCCCTGGATAAACAGACATTCCTAAGTAACAAAATATTTCAACAGGGCCGTCAATATTCCATCTGCATCATTGCCTTCATACCTAAGAAAGGGAGGGTTATATATGTCAGTACTCCGGATGATTATGTCTTTCACAGGTGAGAAGAGTTTCTAAGCATGGATGCAGCTTCCGAAACAATACCTCTCTTCACAGATTACTATTATTCCCTTGGGTTTCAAGAGGAACATAAATTCTCAACAGAACATCGCTGTTTCAGTCTGTTCGCCATATTCCTTTTTAGCTGGCTTCATAGGATTGCATGCAAAATTTCAACTTCCTTTGGGTCACCCTTGAACCAACATCCAACAAGTGGCACCCTACTCAGCTTCCACTTGAGGGCCTGCATGGCACCTGATGTCACTCAATGATCTCCTCAGTGTATATTCAATCTATGCATCTCGACTTCTTTCTCCACATTTGTTGAACGATAAGTTCTTAACTGGTAAATTGCCAGATTGCCACTTATTGCCACTAGCTTAGTCTTTTTGGCCGAACATTCCATCTCCAATATTAAATGAACCAACTGGTTGTATATTATAATTACCAATAAAGTATCTGGCTCACATGCGCTGATAACGACATAAAATCAAGACCAAAATATTTCAATAACCTCCTACAATAGGATGAATGACATGTAGTAAAAACTGCAGAATGTTAAAATATTGACTCAGTAACTAACGTAATGACTTTGAGAATGATTCCGTAGGAGATCAGCATCCCCAACACCCTGTGATCCTTACTTTAATTACAGTTAAATTGTTACATCATTTGTGGCTCTTAAAACTCACATGAAGTTGGAGAGACAGTGAAATAGTTAAGGGAATTAGGATGGAGGTAATAACGAAACACAACGCAATGAGATACTCTCTCTCTCTCTCTCTCTCTCAGAACTTTATGCAGATATAAGGTTAGAAAAAATATCAGATCATTACGACCGACATTTCCTCGACATAAGGATTGATTTGGAGCTGACTTCTAATAATCGGTAGAAGTTTGAATACATAGACCATTGAGTCGGGTCCCAGTGGCCGAATAGTCTACAAGTTTATCTTTTTAACCGGAAGGTCATGGGTTTGAACTCCGATGGGTGCTCGCCAGTGAAGAGTCCCAAACCAAGACGAAACAGTTGTTCATTGCTCCCTGGTGGGTTTTCTAATGGTTCTCCAATTGATGTCAGCTCGTGGTCACTTCTGTAATCAATCAAACCGCTGCAAACAAACGCTTGATAAAAATACATCATACACACACACACACACAGAGTTCTCGTGTATAAAAATGCGTTAGATCACAAACGTAGCCGACCACCTTCAATGGCTGACACCGCCTCATATCCATATTATCGGGAATAGCAATTCCAAAAACATTCTAGTCCGTTAGTTCATGACTTAAAACATTGATTCTCATTACTTCCTGCTTCTGTTGGATGGTCAAAATTGCTCACACTGACTGACAGGAGAACCTTTAATGGATTGGGTGACCTGAACAATGATACTTAGGCCACATACTGTCAGTTTATGACAAAGACTAATGCGCTTACTTACTTTACTTTACTTCGGCTATCTCCTACGGGAGGATGAGCCGGCTTCATGAACCATGAAGTTTCATGGGAATTGGATACGAGTGATATCCCCAGCACCGCTCGGCCTTTTGTTTGAGAGTGCAGCTCTAGCCTTTACACAACCAAGTGTAACCTACAAGGCAGTAGGAGTGGAGTAGGGAGTCCACTATCCATTGTCAGCCAGCCGGTGACCGGAGTCCGGTTCATACGCCTTTTTGAATGGGGCCAGTCATCCAGGGCATCCAATAAGCCCTTTGTCCATACGTCTACCGGTGAACTCCGGTGAGCTTCATACGCCAGTCGTTGGAGGTTTGGAATCAGGGTTTAGCCATCTCCCCTAGACTGTCATCCAATAGACAGTCAACCCGGTGAAGAGCGCCGGGCATCCGCTTTTGCCCGCTCACTTTGGTGAAAAACACCTCCGCCACGTGAAGGCAGTGAGTAGGACTTCCTCAGGAGAGGCTATGTAAGACGCCCGGTCATATGGGAGCATTTCAAGAGGTGTACGGAGGGGTGGCCAACCCGCAGCGCAAGACACCCACCCCCGACCATCCTGAGGCTTTGGAGGCAAGACTAATGCGCAGTTATCCTTCACACAGAATTCAAACACGAATCACCAGCAGCAAGTGACTTGCTCAAAACCTAGTTTTCAAGCAGCACAGGATGTCAGCCAAAATTATTCTCTGAGAACTGAAGACACTAAGCCAGCTGCCAAAAGTATTAATTATTTATTTAAGACACAAACTCGGTACAAGATGGACACCAAGATATGCACCACACAACAACAATATATAGAGAGAGAAAAAATTGCGGGAGAACGAATGATGGACATCATACAGACGGCAGGAATCATTCAAACATCCATCACTTCATGTTACAACTTTCAAGATGGAAAGAAAAGAGAAAATTAATTGCAGCATGTTGACCATTGACGATTGTGGATCTCGACAATATCTGACAGTCTTTCAAATCACCGATCAAAAGTAACTTTCGGATCCCTTCAACCCACCACACCACGTCATAGTAAGCTGACCACGTCTCCGCCTTCCGTATCCATTCCCAAGTGACTAGCGAACACAGATGTCGGTACGGAGGCTTTTCTGGCATGACATTCGTAACACACGTCCATATCATCGGAGTCGGTGTTTCCAAATGACGACAATACTCAATGCATGGTGATCTCTACCATGTTCAAACACACGCTGTCATCGGAGGCAATCAATTCTACACAAATAGCGGTGACCGAATACGCAGTCACCACACATCATCTCGGAGAGGACAGGAAGAGAGGAAGACTGAGAGTACCAAAGCATTGTAAACCCTGCCTTTCAGAACCAGAGTGATGTCGCGACGGCACCAGAAGTGGTATAAATTGGCGTATGCCACCCTTAGCTCTCACTATACGGTTAGAGATCTCGTCTGCCACATCTCCTACCTAGATATACAAACTTTACGACAATTTCAAGCAGTTCACCTGAAAGGGTGACAATCCTTGCCCATACCGTACCAGTTAAATTTACCCAATGAGAATGCATCTCTATTCATACCGTCCCGAGGACCCGAACCAAGAAGCCAGTCTACACCTTCCTACGTGGCTGGCTGGCTGGCTTAAACTAACTGTTGTGCATTTCATTGACTGGTGCTATGTTTTGGTTTGACTGCCGCTAGCTGTTTTCCAGCCTGATCCTATGTCAGCTAACATTGCCCGTCGAGGAAGGCGATGACTAGGCATCCGTAACACATGTCCCAAACATATCAGTCGTTGTAACTTCACAGCCTTGTCGATTGATTTCCTTTCCTTCCTTACCTAGCACTGGACGCCTAACCACAATATTGCTCACTTTATTATATTACTTCACGCGGAAGATAGAACGCAGGCACCTATGATCAAAGACAGCTAGTCTTTTCATGTCTTTTATTCTCAATAACGAAGTCTCACTCAGAGCCATAAGGGAGGATGGAGCGGACTGATGAGCAGTACACCCTCCCTTTGGTTAATAGTCGGATATCTCGTCTACGCCAGAGACGGCGTAAACTGGCATATGCGAAACTAGCCCTCTGTATCCGTACTGAGATTTCGTCAGAGATCAACCCGTTGGGGCTAGTAAGTGAAGTAGTCAACGTGCCCTACCACTTCACTTCCTATTTCTAATCTAGGAGTCGGTGTAGTCCAGTCCTGTAACATCATCTTGCATTTGGCGGAACGAATCTCATGCCAAACGTTCGTAGATTGCGGCTCAAGGTGTTCAGAAGACTCTGCATTTTGTCAGAGTCGTCGTCTAGAAGGACTACATCGTCTGCATATTCTAAGTCAACGAGATTATTCCCTGGTAGCAAGTCAATCCCTGAGTCACTGAATTCAGCAGTTAGGGTTAATTCCATTAGTACATCTATGATGAAATTGAATAGAAATGGGGATAATGGGCATCCTTGACGGACACCACTAGTCGTCACCACTTCAGATGATAACTCGTCGTAAGCCCTCACCTGACTGTATGAGTACGAGTAGAGTGCCTTAATCAGTGCAATGTATTTTCTCGGAATTCCCTTTACAGCCAAGCATCGCCAGAGTACACCTCGGTCGACAGAGTCGAATGCTGCCTTTAGGTCAAGAAATATAATGACTGTTGGACGCCGGTAGGAATTCCTATGTTCTAGAATCTGTCGGAGGGTGAAGATATGATCAATACACCCTCTTCCTGGTCTAAAGCCTGCCTGGCTCTCTCGTGTTTGTGCTTCCCGAGCACCACTCAGTCTACGCATGATTATTGAGCCTAAGACTTTAGATACTATATTAGTCAAGCTAATCCCTCTGTGATTATCACACGAAGACTTGTCTCCCTTTTTGTAAATGGGGATAATTAGTGACTTACACCAACCCGACGCAATTGAAAATCAAAAAGCATATATGAATAAATTCTATAATCTACTTTCAGATAAAAATAGGAAGAATCAAAATACGTCAATATTTTATGGACAGAGTATAAAATTAAGGCATAAAAAATAATAGTAATGATAATGATAATGAGATTATAAACGCAGTTCAAGACAACGTTTAGCATACACTGACGGTATAATACGATCTGCTAACCATCTGGGCATTTCCTTTTGACAAAGACGGACAATATCGCTGAAACTGTATCTATCTGAGAAGTGGATCAAGTATAGGTAATCGATTGACTACAAAAAGAGAAACACGGGGTAAAAAAAACAACACAAAACTCATTGACGCCTCACTCAAGTAAATGAATACATATATATATAAAGGAAATGAGCAGTAGTTATTCATGAAGTAATTCAGTAGATAGATAGATGGTGGCTGATATGTACCCACATGATGTGTGTGTTTTGTTTTTGACAGTCTATTATATTTGGCTATGTGTATATGGATCGATATTTCATTATAACTGACATTATGCTTTTGTCTGTCCACTAACTAAATAAACAATGTATGACCTTGTTATCACATGACATTACAACCAATCACGGTAAGACGTTATCGTATTGGATCATGTGTATTAGCCATTTTTATATATACTTTTGTATTAGACACTTATTATTCTGGTTCATACACTTTTTCGTACACTTGTATCATTTCACTCACACACTAGTGTGACATTTATTTTCCTTGTCTGGAAGATACAAGTATCATCGTAAACCTGGTGGTCTTCTGATTTCCCTCTTTCCGCGTCAGGACTATTAACTACTCGACGAGTACATAACATAATTGGTGACGGGAAAGCTCTAATAACTCACTCAGCAGAATTACATAAAAGTGACCTAGGTGTGCATTTCATCCTATTCTAGGACTGAATTGTCAAGTAGTCGGATGTACCTGAATTTCCTCAATGAGGAAGTGAATGATGGTGTTCCCACTAAGACGTAAACCCAGTAACCTAATTAACTGACAAATTTTTCACATAGAACTCTGCACAAAAGTGCAACAGTTCAATCTGTCACACACCAAAGAATACACAGGTACAGGCAAAAGAGTAAATTGACGTTAGAAAGAATAACCCTACATGCTATTATCAACTTTGGTTAATTATACTACGTAATGTTTTTTTTTGTTACTGAATAAATTCGATGCAATATTGTACTAAATGCTGACAATTTTATGCTGTATAATAAGTACTGTTTTGGAATAAAGCAAATTATTACTATTATTACGATTATTATTATTATTATTATTATTATTATTATTATTACCTTGGAGGGCTTCTGATACTAAGCGGTTCTTTAACTAATTAAAATGGGACAGGATTTATAAAACGTGAAATGCTGAAACCAGTAAACGGTGTTTTTTTTCGTTCCGAAAACGTCCCACCCCGCGATTCGACTACGACAACCAGAGAACACAAAGTGTAACCTGCACCTAATCCTAGTCCATAAAATACATGTACTGAATGAATAGATTCAATAAAAACACTGAACCCCTCCCCCCCCCCACACACATACACTTTGATCGATAAATTGAGCCTGAAGACATCAAATCCATCAACAACACATACAGTTCATAACAATATCTTTTAAAACGGAAAAAATCAATTAACGAATATAATATTACCTTAAATAAAGAAGCATTTTGACGAATTTCATCTAAATGAGTATGACCATGCAACTTAGCACTATCCATTCTCCTCTCTGGATTATCTAAAAATGTCGCTTCCATTATCAGTAAACGTGTTGATAAAAGATCTGGGCATATAGACTTTGCCGACTGTAGAACAGTAAATCTAGAATCACCTACACAAAACAAAAAACGGAAAATAAATCATTATTGAAATACTACAATTCACATGAATAGAGAAACATCCCTGTTGGGTGTTTGATCTCGAGTAAGTAGACGACATCGTCTTGCTGTCCGATAGCAGTATGTAAGCTGGCTTCCCAAATAGCACTTGATCAGTTGGCAATCAGCATCTGTAAGTATGCTATGTGTTTTGCGCCGTCTAAGTGAAAATTACTTTTGCAAGATTGGAAGGAGCTTGTACCTGCACTCACCCTTGCAGGTGAACCGCTTCTAGTTGTCGACAATTTCGTGTATCTAGATAGATGTGTGAGTGCTGGAGGAGGTGTGACAGAGATTCCTAACCGTTTAGTGAAAGCTAGGGTAGCATATGTTGATTCGGACCACCTTTGGCGCTGTCACCCTGGCGCTATCAAATGTCGACTTTACAGTGCTTCACTGCGCGTAGCCTTTCTCTACACCTGTGAAATCTGGCCTTTTCTAGGTGAGGATGTGCACCGATTCTGATTATTAGAGCATCATTATCTCCATTGAGCTGATTGTGTCCAACGACGTCAGCGCGTTTGTGAATAGGGAGATTGCCTTTATTGAATGCCTCGTCATCTGGAAACACCAGCTTCGATGGCGTGGACATGTGTGATAGGACCCCGCATAAAATAGTATATCATCATTTTTCACGCATATTGTAACTTATGTGAACAATTATTTTCCACACCTGTGAGCCAACCTTATTGTTGTAAAAATGTATAAATAGCATGTGTCTTTTCCCCAATAAATATATAGTACAATACAATACAGTACAGCATCTTCCAGTCACAGGCCAGCCTTTGTCCTGTGATATTTCCGCGACTCAGTGAATCGAAAGATACAACGGGCGAATAGGTATATTAGGGTATCAGTAGAGTTCATTACCATTAGAACAATTAGCAACCACAGACATAACAAGGTGACAACGGGTTTACTCAGTTTTAGTACAGTTACAACAATGTGCTATGAAGGTCACCCCAGAAGCCTCCGTACCGATATGTGTTGGCTAGCCACGTAGAAGAGGATGGAAAAAGAGGAAAAATGGTCAGACCATTACGACGTGGCGTCGTGGGATAAAAGGTATTTGTGTCAAGTTAGCATCACTTATAGTACATCAGGACTCCCTGGTTGGGATCCGATAGATATTTCTGATCAGTGGCTTGAAAGGCTATCAGATATGGTCGAGAACCACAATCGTCAAAAGTCAACATGCTACAAGTTTGCCGCTAATTTCAATTCTAAGCCATAATTCACATTTCTGGGCTTTAGTATTATCAGCTCTTGAAATTAACGCAGAAAGTCGTGATGCACCAGCAGACGTTTATTGCATTACAATCACCTATAATCTGATGGATGCTACATTGTAGGTTGGCCATTTCCCAAAGACTTTCAATAAATCTAACAACTAGCAAATACGAATGGTATAGTAGTAGTTTGAGACCTGAAAAAAAACAACCTATCTTATCCAAACAGGAATTTTCGACGGCTTCAACCGAATTCTGAATGATGTATTGACTGCTTGTATGGAGTCAGATGAGTACTGACGTAAGTAACTACAAAATGTGCACCGCTTGTAACAATCATATGCATAATTTGCACTTGTTACCAAACCGGGCAGCGAGGAAACAGCATAAAATGAACCTTCACGAAAAACTTGGAGGATCGGGACTTCGCCGGTGATATGTCTGATTTTCCACAAACTGGAAGATATGCAAGTGATGAAAAGCAACAAGTTGGCAGAAGGAGCGTCAAAGATAGCACTTCACTTCAGGTGAACATAGAGAAGACAGAGGTAGGTGAAGAAGATTCCTGGCCAACAGCAACACCAACAACAAAGACAACAATCAGCATAAATAGGAGAAATCCGAAAGAAGCAACTTTCTTCACTTACCTGCCTACCTGGGAAGCATCGTCTCAACTACAGGCGGACGGCACTAACGAGGATATCAAACAATGATCGGGAAGCAAGAGAAGCTTTCATCACTGTCAAGTGTGTGTGGAGGTCAACATCACTCAGCATGAAAAATAAGATCCGGACTTTAAACTCCAATGTGAAGTCAGTCAGTGCTACTCACTATACGGATCAGAGACTTGGCGCGTCATGAAGAGTACCTCAAACAAACTACAAACCTTCATCAACGCTGCCTTCGCTCAATACTACTCAAGATCAGATGGCCGGCCAGAAAAGACCAGCAACAGGGATCTCTGGGAGCGAATCGACCCGACAGGAACCAATTGTGCAACAAATATGCATGATGAAATGGAGGTGGATTGGCCATACACTGAGGAAACCATCAAGTGACATCACGAGACAAGCCATTGCTCCAGTGGAACCCGAAAGGGAAGCGGCGAGTTGGCCGTCCAAGCGTGACTTGGAGGTGATGTGAAGAGGAGATGAAAGCATGTGGGCAGACCTGGAGCCAGGTGAAAACTTCAGCAGGGAAATGAAAGCAATGGAGACGTGCAGCTGAAGCCTTATGTTCCTCTAGGAATTAAAGGAAATAATAATAATGCCATAACGGAATGAAATCACACCATCTGAAACGAGTAGCTAATGGAACTGAACTGACCAGTTACACCGCTGATGAGCTCGACCCTTAGTGAACAAAAGCCCCATCAACTATTTAAATCGTTTCGATAAACTCACTAGCAAGCACTACTAGTTTATCTAAGTGGTATACAACTACTCATTTCAATTAATCAGTAGTACATCGTTTCATGAAATTTACTGCACTCAGTATAAGGAGCAACATACGAAATTTTAGCAGTAATGCGGATTCAATGAATGCTTCTTTACGGTTAAGAAACTTGACACACGCACACACACACGTCACGAAATGCATTCCCAACGAGCGGTTGCATACTTTCATCATCAACTGTTATCACTCTATACTGAATATTAGTCGGCGAGGAACTCTGGGAACGAACTAATCAAGAACCTATCGCCAAACCAATATGCGAAGCAAACAGAAATGGATCGGATATACACGTTAAAAATACCGCTGAATAACATCACACATACACACTTGACCTTCAAATGGGACCCGAATAAGAAACGATGAGTTGGGCGTCAGATGGTGGACATGGAGGAAATCAAGTGAAGAAGAAATGAAGGCTTCTGAGTAATCATAGAGCTAGGTCCGAAATCTGCAGAGAACAAAGACAAGTAGAGATGCGTTGTTGAAGCCCTATGTTCCACTAGGGCTTATCGAACTTCCGAATAAATCCAGGGTCTGTACAAGCAATATATTCAATAAAAAGAAAAACCCAGTAGTGTTTTTTGAGAAGCAAAATGTCAACATACCTAAATAGGCGATTTCAGGAACTGTTTTTCCATTGGAATCTTGACTATACAGTAAATAACCCACACTAGCAATAGCATGATCAGTTGAAAGTACAACAACTCGCCAACCATCTAACAACTAGGAGAAGTAAAAAACATTTTTAAAGAAAAACACAACAGTAATGCATGATGCATGCATTTACAAACCTCATATTCACCTCCAGACTCCACGGGAATAAGATTACCCACAAAATCGGAATCCGTCTTCTCAGACATCATTGTGTAAGCATCGCAGACAGTAGTTATCAATGGGACTAAGTGTTTTGGCATAAAATATGTTGCTTTGCCTAATTTATTTAAAGCTCGCTTTTTCATATGTTGAGTAATCGCTCCAATATGATCTGCATGACCATGACTATAAATCATCATTATTATTACTATTGCTATTAATCATGATATACTTACCTAATGAATATATAGTCAGCTAACACCATGGGTCTAGGTGAAAATCCAATATCGAAACCAAATACTCTGTCTTTACTTTGGACAGCAACACATGTCTCATTTCCAGCAACAGACCAACTAAAGACTTCAAATGGTCCAACTTTTTGAAAAGTCATATTCTAGGCTAGTGTTTTTGGCGTAAAAGGTATCATACACCTGTAGGTATAAATAATAATGAGAGTAGGCAAGTAGAGTATAGCAGAGTACAGTACGGTACAGTACAATAGACAATTGATAAAGATATGTGCATAACTGCGCTTTCTTTATAAAGTAATTATCCATAATATTAGAACAAATCAAAACTATAAAAGCCTAAAACCACTGAGTTGCACTGACCTCATGGTCTGTAAGCCACTAATGAATTTAATACGCAAGCTAAACAGATCACAAAAGTCTAAACATAATAATAATAATAATTTTTGCTTTATTCCATAAACATTACTAATGATACAGCAAGCAATTTTCAGCACTCAGTATAATATTGGATCTAATTTACTCAAAACGACAAAAAGATAAACATTACATGATAATAATAACAAAACATTGTTATAGCAACTATGTAGCAATTACAGTATGCGATAAGGAGAAAAATATGCATAGAGTATAAAATTGTAGTAATAATAGCAATAACAACTAAAATAAAATAGCTCAGTTATAATGAAGAGATAGAAAGGGTGACACCATAAAATTACACAAAGATGAACAATGAAAGGGTCGACTCACTTTGCTAATTACATAGTAACTTATATGTTTCACGTCTATAACATTGTCTCCATCACATAAAATACGGGATAAATAGGGTATTATAGAATTTGTGTACTTATTGGTTCGAGCATATAACTTCTTATATTGACTTCTCGTCTATCTGATGAGATGCAAGGGGATAGTTGTGAATAAAGGGGGTCCAGAGGGTCTGACAGTATAGCCTTTACCCATTTTGTACAGAAATTTATGTGTCTCTCGACTATAGTATTGGCGAGCTCACGCGGTGGCAAACCACAAACCCTACTCAGAGCACTTAATACCCTTCGTAATATGATATAGTCTTTTTTGAGAAGCCCAGGAAAGATTAATGGAGAGCAATAGAGTACAATAGGTAAAACGCAGGAGTTTACAAACTGCACAAGTAAAGGTTGGTTGATACCTGACTGTCTTAACTTTTTAATGTAAAAGGTAAAACGAAACGTTTTCTTAGAGATTGATAAGATGTGGGATGAACATGAAAAGTCAGAGGAAAGAACTAATCCAAGGTATTTAATGCTTGACTTGGTTTCAATTTCAGTGCCATCTATGCTACAGCCATCATGCGAACTACCTAGTTCATGTATGTCACGTCGATGCTTGAAAGTCAACTGCCTGACATTTGGAAGGATTTAACATAAGACCATTTGACTTAGACCACTTTCTGATATCCAACAGAAAGCTATTAAGTTTGGAGCAGTCAGACTCGGAAGTGATACAGTCAGACCATCTGCATATTTGACAAAGTTAGTTTCGTTTAAATGAGGTTGGTCGTGTAGGAATAAAGAAAAAAGATAAGGAGAGAGGACGGCACCTTGAGGAACACCGGCTTTTGTAAACGGGGTAGAATAAGATTTGTCATTATATACAGTATACTGCATCCTATCAGAAAAATAAGAATGCAACCAACTCTTAGCCCAGGACCCTGTTCGCGTTAACGAAAGATTATATGTATATATAATTTAGTAAATAGAGATTCATATCAATACTACGAAGTGTTCATTGAAAATTACACCAGTTGACTTAGTCTTGTAGACATTCAAAAATACGAATGTACACTCAAGACGCTAATATATTCAGCGAATTGAAGTTTTCAATTTAAAAATAACCAGCTGAACAAATTCACATTCCACTTTACCTAAAAGATTACAGAATCAATTCTGTTATACAAAACAACGAAACCAGATGAAGAGCGAATTATGAATGCAATGTGACGGGTATCTTCCAGTTGACTTTGAACGTTTTTCAGTAGAGCTATTGGTAGTGGCCACTAAAGGTTGACATCATCTAGTAAGCATTTTCTTCAGGTTCACTATAGAAATTCTGGACAAAAGACTGAAGGAATGCTGCGGAAAGTGAGACAATTCACCCCGGAAGTTGGGGCACTATTCTGCAATGGACCCAAAACCTAACTTTAAAGTTTCTGCAGTGAACACAAAAGGTCTTCTGCAGTAGTAATATGAATCAACAATAGGTAAAAGTATGGGTAATCATTAATATATGTGTAGACCTTGGGCACTGTGGTAGTAAGTAGATGACACATTCACTGTACTTAGAACACAAGATACAGAGAGATTTTTCGAACACCAACTCAAAGGTAGAGGAGATTCAATTCACTTATGGATTGGGAAGTCAGGAAGGGGAGCTTCCAATGTTAGATTGCAACGTAAAAAGGAAAGAAGATGGGAAGTTAAACAATAGGAAACCCACACATTCAAACATATTTGGACTTCCGATCATCCCATCCTATGTCAGTAAAAATAGGATTAGTGAAATGTTTAAGTGACAGACCACAAAAACTAAGTAGTACCAAAAAAATCTAAGGCAAGAAGTGATACACATAAAAGAGGGCTTGAAACTTAATAATTACCCGGATAAATTAGTCAGGAAATATGTAAGGAAATGTAAAAATAAAATAAATAATGATAGTAGCGATAGTGATAATAATAATAATAATAAAAATATTAACGACGGCACCAACATTAAGGAATCTAAATCATCAGTAGTAATTCCATACAAGGAAGGAACCTAGGAAAACTTACACAGAATTCTTAACAAGGCAGGAATAAAAGTGATTGGTATTCAAACCAAACACAAACTCAATTAGAAACAAGCTTTGTCGGTTAAAGGATCATCCTGTGGAGCCTTTGAAACAAAACAACTTAGTTTGCCTAATACCCTACCTGCAATGATTGTCAGGTCAAATACATAGGTCAAACTAGTAGAATAGGGGCAGTCAGACTAGCCGAGCATAAGACCTAGCAAAATCTAGATTGGTTGACCCGAATAAGATAAGAAATCTAGAGAATAGTTCAGCTATAGCACTACTACATGCAATTACACACAACCATACAATAGGATGGGATAGGACGACAGTTTTAAAATCTAATATCACAGGGTGGAGGGAGTGATTGATAACAGGAGCTTTGTTTATCGAATCAACTGCAACTAGATGTAATAGGAATGATTCAACGCCTATCCACTCAGATATATGGAAAATCCTACTACCGCGCCTTTGATGACAAATAGGAGAAGACAAAGAAGACTCAAACTCAAGTTTCGACATCGTGTGTTTACAATTGATACGATTATGAACAATAATAAATTTCGTTCGAAACGTCATCCAGTAAATAATACTGTTTTCCATTATAATAGAGGTTTTTTGTACTCCCCAATGAATGAAAAACAAAACGATATCGTTTATACTGACGTTTCGCTATTTAATGCTATTAGCTTTCTCAAAGTATTATCAAACCGGAATTTACAAAATCCCAGCATATATATAACAAAGAGTTAGGGGGTGAGAAAAATATAGACTTAGTTCAACTTAAAAGGACATATTGAAAGTCAAAATAACAATGAAGATCGTTCAAACCAAATATCAAAGGTAATAGTATATCTGTTATTATATCAAAATAAAGTTTACTAACTTGATCATCGTTCGTTAGTCTGGGGTCATTTTGGTTGTCAAGTTGGAGAATAGGTAAAGGTAACCAAAACAAGTGTAGGTTGTTCACCAGTCTCCCCAATAGTCGCCGATCTTTACATGAATAAATTCGAAAATAATATCTTTTCAAGCATACTCACTTCTAAAATATGGTTAAGATATGTGGATGATACTTTTGTAGCACTAAAACAAGATCTACACAATTCATTCCTGGAGAAAATAAACTGTGCATCTCCCAAAATCCAGTTCACTTCGGAAGCAGAATCAGACATCGGTGAACTACCATTTCTAGACTGTCTAGTTAAGAGAAAGGAAAACGGATATTTTAGTATATCCATATTCAGGAAGAAAACCCACTCCAATAAATATTTAGACTTCAAATCATCACACCCCATCAGCGCAAAGATTTCAGTTGTTTCAAGTCTTCTTAGACGAGCACACTCTCTGATAACGGATGAGAAAGAAAAAGAAGAAATATCAAACATTACTGAAACTCTCAAGCAAAACAACTACCCAACGAACTTCATCAACAAAATGCTTGGCTGTAAAGGGAATTCCGAGAAATATATTGCACTGATTAAGGCACTCTACTCGTACTCATACAGCCAGGTGAGGGCTTACGGCAAGCTGTCATCTGAACTGATGACGACCAGTGGTGTCCGTCAAGGATGCCCATTATCTCCTTTTCTATTCAACTTCATCATAGATGTGTTAATGGACTTAACCCTAGGTGACTTCAGCGACTCAGGGATTGACTTGCTACCAGGGAATAATCTCATTGACGATGTAATCCTCCTAGGCGAAGACTCTGACAAAATGCAGAGTCTTCTAAATACCTTGAGCAGCAATCAACGAATGTTTGGCATGCGATTCGCTCCCGCCAAATGCAAGATGATGTTACAGGACTGGACTACATCGACACCTAGTTTAAAAATAGGAAGTGAAGTGGTAGAGCACGTTAATCGCTTCACTTATTTGGGAAGTACCATCAGCCAGCCCCAACGGGTTGATCTCTGACGAAATCTCAGCACGAATACAGGGGGCTCGTTTCGCATTTGCCAGTTTACGCCGACTCTGGCGTAGACGAGATGTTCGACTATCGACCAAAGGGCGGGTGTACTGCTCATCAGTCCGCTCCTTTTGGTTGTGAGACCTGGCCACTGAGAGTGGAAGACATGAAAAGACTAGCTGTCTTTGATCATAGGTGCCTGCGCTCTATTTCCCGTGTAAAGTGGCATAATAAGGTGAGCAACATTGAAGTTAGGCGTCGAGTTCTAGGTAAACAGGGGAAATCAATCGACGAAGTCGTGAAGTTACAAAGACTGAGATGGTTAGGACATGTGTTACGTATGCCAAGCCATCGCCTCCCTCGACGAGCAATGTTAGCGGATATAGGGTCAGGCTGGAAAAAAGCTAGCGGCGGTCAAACAAAAACTTGGCACCAGTCAATGAAATCCACAACAGTTGGTCTAAGCCACGTAGGAAGGTGTAGACTTCCAGGCTGGGGTCCTCGGGACGGTAAAAATCTATGGTTGGAAACAATTGGTAACATGGCTCAAAATCGTTCTCAGTGGCGCAGATGCATCCACTCCTTGTGATTTATGATTTTCAATGAAACTGTTTTGTTCTTCGTTATTACTCCTTTGTCTCACACCTCTGCTCACTGTTTCTATTACGCTTTTCTTGTACTTTCTTCTCTTGCTTCGCGTGCTACACGGAGTGTGGCGACTTGAACTTCCGCACATTTGTGCAAAGTTCTATGTCAAAAACAGACAGACAGACAGATATCAACAAAATCAACAAAGACATTAAGTATGGCCGAAAATGCATTCCGAAAACATGGACTTCAACAGTCGTCATTCCATATAGAGCAGAGACGTTAGACGATATCAGAAGAGTACTCAATCAGCTCGACGTTAGAGTTTTCTTCAAAACATCAGACACACTTCAAAACAACCTTGTCCATATAAAAGACCAAATCCCGAAAGATTCTCTATCTAATTGTGTCTACAAAATAAAATGCTTGAAATGTGATGCGATATACATCGGACAAACATCTCGAGAAATCAAAATCAGAAGAAATGAACACCGTAGAGCATCTGTTCGACCAATCACCGAGAAATCCAGTTAGTGAACTAGAAAAACTTCAAAAATCATCAGCCATAGGTCTACATGCTATAGAATCAGGCCACAAAATTGATTTTGATAATATTGAAATAATCCAGAAAAACTTCAGAAACCACAAAGAACGTCTAATATCAGAAGCACTTCATATCAAGTGGAATCCAAATTGCCTGAATAGGAATGATGGACTGAAACAGAATCTAACCTGGCTACAACACCCTCCCCCATGAAGTAGCTAAATCAACGCAAATGTGGTGAGCAAGTTCACTATGTAAACGCACACTACTTTCATAATTCTACACACTGACAAAATTCCAACAATCTACACTTGGTTTTACTATCTTTACCAGTTCGCTAACTTGACAACAAAAAACGACCCAGACTGATGAATGTTGATCAAGTATTTCACATTCTACACTTAGTTTGGTTACCTTTACCTATTCTCGAACTTGAAAACCAAAAATGACCCCAGACTAACGAACGATGATCAAGTTAGTAAACTTTATTTTGATATAATAACAGATATACTATTACCTTTGATATTTGGTTTGAACGATCTTCATTGTTATTTTGACTTTCAATATGTCCTTTTAAGTTGAACTAAGTCTATATTTTTCTCACCCCCTAACTCTTTGTTATATATATGCTGGGATTTTGTAAATTCCGGTTTAATAATACTTTGAGAAAGCTAATAGCATTAAATAGCGAAACGTCAGTAAAAACAATATCGTTTTGTTTTTCATTCATTGGGAAATACAAAAACCTCTATTATAATGAATATTATATACTCAATGCCCAAATTTTTTAAAACCGTTAAAAGTGAACTTGGTTCGGACATATATAAGTGTTTTTTTTCACTATGTGATACATCAAATAAACAGACTAATGTGGGTAATCATGGCAAGAGTCAAGAATAGGCAAACAGTCAAATGACCTGGAACCGTCCAAGTGTGGCATTTATTGTACAAAAAGATGTCTCTATAAAACATGTATGTGGTGAAAATCAGATACACGGGTATGTGTCTGATATGCTGCAAAAATTGGTCCCAGTTTCTCATGGGAGTGTTTATAGACATATCAAACCAATGTCTATACAAAATCTCATCTAAATGGCTACATCCCATAACATTTTGGAAACTGTTGACCATTCTTATACATTTTTTCAGGTGGTCCAAGAATCTTTAAATAGAATTCGTATGCGTTTCACTTAGAGTCCGCCAATTCAGAGGGATGATTGACTTTATGGTGATTATTGCCTAGTGATGGTAACTGCAACTAACCTCTCACTCGTCTGTGTGAATGGTAGTGTTTGGAAGACTAGTCACTGTATAATTGGTATTAAGACATTGGCACTTCTGTCTAGGATGCGTTCTACAAACCCTCTTTGAAGATTTGTGCCGTACAGTCCCTCAACCCAAATATGATTAGCTTTTCTCCCACGTTGATTCACTTTTCTCTTAATAAGTACTGCTTCGTCAACATGGATGAAGACACCAACTCACCATAATGGAAGACTCACCAACTCTTACAAAATTCCTCAGGTAACAGAGGTTGCATCTGAATGCATAACCACCGATAACCGGAAATACTTTTGCATTGGTTTGTAAGAGTTGGTAAGTCGTAAATTACGGTGAGTTGGTATCGTCGTTCTGCAGTGCGCCTAAAGAGAATGCATGGTTTAAACTTGGCATCAGTAAAAGAAATAATGACTGTATAGAGCCTTTTGCAGTCATTATTCCTTTATATATGCCTAGTTTAAACCATGCATTTCCTTCAGGCGCTCTGCAGAATTTATCGGGTAAAATCTTCGGACGCATCCCAGAACGCAGGACAGCTACCTCCAGTTCGCCCAAAGACAATATTAGTCGAACTATAGTCCTCCCTATACGGATATATCAACCGATTTTCCACACAAGTCAAAATCCAAATCTGGTTGAAACTAGCGACAAAGATTAGGAGTAGCATCCATTTTTAATGCTAAGCGAGCCAACTGGGTGGTTCTGCGTCATTTGACTTCGGTGTCTATTAATTGTAAATGAGAAAATTGTACCCCACTGGTACTTAATGGAGCTTAGAGTTTAACTTGGCCAGTCTAAGCTCCATAGGGCCTGCTAAATAATTTGGTGAAACTGTAAACTAGACAACAGCTGCGAACAGACATGTGCAGAAACCCACCTACAAACCATGTGCCGCCAGAATGACCTGGCTTTTCATTGGCCAAATTCTGTACACCACAAAATGCGCCATGTATGGCATTACCTTCTCAAGGTCACGTTTTAATATTTCATTTGTACCTAAGATTCCTGGAACAATTGTGCCAGCATCAGTGATTTCTATTTCTATATCACATTATCACGCTTATTTTGAAAACGAGATCGAATTTTACACGCTCCTGATTGGTTTCGGCTTTTGTTGCGATATGCTCTCCAAAAGTCTATAGATTAACTTTAATTCAGGCTATTCTGGTCAAAGTTAGTTTTCTTTATTGTTTTAGGTCTAATTATAACATATAATTTATTATGCATCCATTTTCTTGTAGATGCATCGGTTTTTATCTCTGGTTTATATAAAAATTGTTCCTAGTGGTCATATTGGAATCCCACAATCAAATTCACTTTGAAAAGTACGCCTATAAAGGGAAACCGCTGCGGAAGAGTTGTGTGTTAATTCCTAGTCAAAACAGACGTGCAGTGAGACAGATGCAAGCACTGGTACAAAACTTACCCCTGCAGCATGTGAGCGCTGCTACAAACCTCTGGAAAACTGGCTGCGCAATGACTACCGCAATTGAAGTGAGTTCCGTATTAAAGAAGCCAGTGAGGCATTATAGCTCCAAGACTTCAGAGGTCCTCCGTAACAGGAGAAGAGAAATTACTGCTAAGGCACAGATGATGCTAGTAGCGTTATTGACAAGACAACACACATTCGTGAGGCGTCTCTGTGAGGAAGTAAGTGGCTTTTACTATAGAAGAGCGTCCACCATATCTTGGTCACCAAAACTACCCCTACGATACCCACTTAGCATGTAATGAGAAGGCGATACGACATTCCAGCACCAAGTCGTACATTGCTGGCACGAGAAAAAGGAGTACCGTGGGTAAAACTTCCGCAGTTGATGAAGCAAACAAACTTGTTAATCAAACCTCATCCACTCAGGTGTATAGTAGATAGACACAAATAACCATGAGGCCACATTGCATATGAAGGACGGAAAGACACTTTCACCATAGAGCAAGAAAGCCACTGCAAGCGAACCTGAAAACTCTGACAAACCTTTCATCGTACACAAAGTGGAGGAATCACTTGCATCAAATCCCAGGGTTAGTTTTCAAAATGACCAAGTCAAGACCCTCATACACAGGTGGACATAGATGGGTCAACGGAAAATAAGGTTAAAATACATCGCTTTCACACTGACGCCAAAGTTAATACACCGAAACCATCAAAACCCATCCCACTGGTGTTCCAACCATCCCCTTATAAGTCAGTTACTCCTCAGTCTGACAATCCACACTCTGTGAAGCACCAGTCGAATGTAGCTACCCGAGTTGGCAACTTTTCTAGGCATTATGACAAACATCCCATTTCCATTAAGGAAGCTAAAGCTCATGAGGTGTCCAAGCCACAGAAACCCTACATAGCATGTGCTGGCTGCCATGTTAGCCATCGTCAAACAGTTAATCATTAGAAAAGGGAAAAAGAAGTAAATAAATTAAATACTGGACCCGTAGCAAGAAAGCCCTTTGAGATCATAGAAACGAAAGCACCTCTAAGCCATCTTTCTAAGAGAAAGTCAAATATGGTAGACCAAGCTCCTAGGGGTAGGCCTGATTGATGTCAACTCGAAAGCCAAAATTACCCGACCACTAATTCTAGACAGAGAGCACAGCAAGGTAGTAAGTATTATTCTCCGAATTTCTGAACATGTCTGGTAACAAGCAATATATTTGCTGTAGCCGTAATAATGAGTCTAACATCATAGAAAGAGGGAGGGTGGCGCTAGCTGATCAGTAGATATGGTGGTGGTCACTAAGGTGAATCACCCCATTCTGCAGGAACAGCAATATGTAATTGCACGGTTCGAGGTTTTTCTGATGTTTATGAGGGCTTAGATCTTATCTTGAAAAAGATAATAATGAACGCCTTGACAGATCATGCTTCTACCTTTAAATATATACCATTTGCTCAGCCTATTGTTGAGTCGCGACCACGTGGGCTCTACACAGATTTATGGGGCATCTTATAAATTAACTTGCTATCCATCGTCAGATCTTTAAATACCACTTCACGATGTCTTATCTCATTTATTTTCTAATAACGTCTTTACTTTATCCTCATTATATTCCACTAAACCTAACATTTTATGGCTCTGTATGAATTTGATTCGACTTATTCTATTCCTATTCTCTGTAGGGTACGGTTGTGCACCAAATAGACAAAAAGGCATGAAATAAAAACAACTGGCTTGAAAATAATTGTATTAAAGCCAAAAGTGGACATCATGATAGTGAGACGTATATGGGTAGCATTATATATTGCAAATGAACGTTGTCGCCTAGGGATTAATTACTTCCCCATTCTGTTTCCTATATAAATGTATTTATTGATGATATATTGCACTTACTTAATTAATTACACTTTAATGATACACCTTAGCACTTTAAATTTTCTAAAACACCTTTTGTCAATCACGTCTCATAAACCGTTAATGCCCAGCTCTTGCTACGCTCGGGCTCACGCTGTTCCTTGTAGTTTTCAGAAACGCTTAGTTATAACGGACGAAAAAACCAAAACACCGATTGGCCGCTTGAGATTTCTTTATTGTTACACCAACATATAAAAATAATAACTGAACTAAGGTCTGTGAACAAATAATTAATTATTAATAAATCATAGTATTACTTCTGACGATGTTTCACTCTTCTTTCTGAACAGCGACCGATGAGACGATGACTGTCGTATTGATGCCTCCGCGAAAATTGGGGAAGTTGATTTTGAGCAAACAACCAAGAATTGATCGTTCAATCTTCAACTCCATTGACACTCCCCGGCAAAAAAGGGATCCAACCCTTTTTTCCTTCACGACCAATACACGTTGACTTGGATGCCATTGCGAGAACCTGGGTCACACGGACAGAGCTGAAATGGAAAACAAACAGAAAAGCCAACACACCACAAGCATACCCACAGCACAATCTCACACATCGCTGACGACCTGCGCCTCCAGACAGAGACCTCCTCTTGACATCTTGCAACACAATCGCCACTTGCTAGAATGACTCTTGCAGAATGCAACGTGACCATAGCACCAACTCATGATACTCTACGCACATCCTCTTATCTACTCACTACCAATTACCACTGCAATCGCTTGTCACTCATTCTGCCTCAGTTCTAGTAGCGGTGACGCATGCGAGCCTCAGTCGTTTACACTCTTTCTCCCCGGCGTGTCGGACCGCAGCTAACAATTATCTCCGTGTGCATTTCATTCTCAGCAATAGCCTAGCCTCCCCGGCGTATACGACCCATCTGCTGTCTTTAACATCAATCAATTCATTCATGGATGTAGAAGAGTGGACACAACTTCAGAAGTAATCACGACGAAAATTTTAACAAAATTATGCAATAAAAACAAGGTACGAAAACAACGAGTAAACACAATGAATCCAAAAACACCAATTGATATGACACACCACACATATATACAAACAGTACACACAAACTCGCAGTTCATGTCTTGATGGAATTCCTTTGAAGAATCGCAGGACTTACACCAGTACGCCTACAACCCTTCACAGGTTGACGATTGTAAGTTGTGGAATGTCCGGACACAAACAAGATTAACCAACAATTACAATAATTGGAACTCACACAATTATTTAACACAAACATATGTACAATCAACACATCAAATGTTGTGGATTCTGACACGACAAACTACCCTTGAAGAACTGTAGGACTTACAGCAGTACGCCTACATTCCTTCTCAGGTTGATGATCCAAGTGGAAGTCGTCCGGACACAAACAGAATTACCAACAGCTAGATGACAGATGATATCAATTCAGTATATACAATATGAACATATGTACAAAATCACACACCAAGCACATTGGACTGCTCATTGATGCGCTACCCTTTGAAGAATTGTAGGACTTACAGCAGTACGCCTACAACCCTTCTCAGGTTGACGCTCTAGGTTGGAAAATCGTCGCAGAGTTCATTTGCTGACCTCCTCCTATCAGCTATATCTTCAAATCTGAACGGCAACTGGCTCATGTCATTGTATCGTAGAATATAGATGACGAACAAACATACGACGTATCTGGTCAACCAAGCGTAGAAACAGAGTAATTTACACCAAAGATAATAACATTCAAATAGTAACTTGAAACTAGAAATGCCTTTATTCGTGCAAGTCAATTTAACAATTACTCTCTCGTTTACACTTGGCTTATCCTCACTAAACTGACCATTGATATTCGTCCTTTCAAACGAACTGATACTAGCATAGTCATTGCACAAGATACTTGAGTTGATGGGCGTCTTTTTCATTGTGGATGACAGCACCAACGACGACTGATTGATATCAGTTGATGAAGTTAGCGGTGGATCAAAAGCTGTTGTTGCTCGGCTTTCAGAAATTTGTCTACCTGCAAGACCACCACCACTGCTGTCTTTTACTATCAGCTCAGGTTTAGCACTAGCATCTGATGATAGGTGGGCTACATGCTGATCAATCACACTGACGGTCTCACAAGTACGCATGCCTTCTGCAACTGCACCTGCATTTATTTCTACTTCACGTTCAAGTTCTACAGAACCTTTATTTAACTTAGCGGTAGTAGGCATTCCCTCCATTTCATCATGATCAACCAAAGAGAAATCTGCACTATCATGATCATTACCACAAATATTCAATTTACCGTCAAGTTCATCATTTTCAAACTCTTTAATAACAGAAGTAGACAATTTTGGCTCCTCCTCACAAATCATTAAAGGTTTTATATCTTCACTCTGACTAGTTATACTTTGTAAACTTGTAGGGTCAGAACTGCACTCTGAAGCAGCAACTCTATTCTGTGACACTCTATTCAACAATGGCTTACCAGTTGTAACTACAGACTTCCTGACCGCACCGTTATCGTCACACAATTCGGAGTCAGGCCTGGAGTTTACATTTAGCTTATCACTGAACTTGCTCACTGGTTCACAGTTCACCTTTGTATGCACCTCTTGCAAACGTGTAAAACACAACCGTGCTTGTCTTGCATCTTGTAACTTATCTGTTGAGGATGTACTACGAAACCTGTTACACTCACTAGGTCTATATGCATTACTGGACATCATGGAGCCTTCTCGATATCCACCTCTCTGAGGCCCTTTCGTCATCAATGATTGCGTTTTACCCTCAGACTGCTCTATTCTAGGGGTGAGATTCAATATACTGGCAAACTTGCTCATCGATTGATTGACACTATCTTTTACTAGTTTCAGGATATCATCAAATTTTGGATCGATATCCTCTTCCTCCATACGGGAGCTTATCTTCACCCACTTCCTTTGCAGTCGAGTAGGTAGGCGTCTCGCAATTACCTCTAGGACTGAGCTGGAGTTGAGGTCACTCATGCAATTCATAGAAATCAAGGTATTCTTATAAGTCATAAGATTATCAAAAAACTCAGTAAGTGCCTTGGAGTCATCTCGAAGTTGGCTGCCATTACCTTTGACAGCTTCGTATACGTTCCTTACAATCATTGAAGGTCTTCCAAACCTTTGACGTAATATGCTCATAGCCTCAGCGTATCCCTCATTAGGGGGAATGAGCTTACAGCACTGTATAGCTCTTGCAGCATCTCCAGTGCAATATCTCATCAAATACATTAACTTCAATTCATCACTTAATAGAAAACTACTCAACATGATCTCAAACTCCTTTACAAATTGTAAATAATCAGCCGGGTTTCCATCGAAACACCGTGGTTCTAATTTAGGGAGTTTGATGTTCCTATTATCCCTGAACGGCGAAACAGTAACATCAACCATATCATGCTTAACATCAGACACATCGTTACAATTAACAGACAAGTCACAATGACTTACTTTCCTGTTTGCATCCAAGACACTCTGTCCCTTCTTTGACCCAGGCATTGTTGAACTTGACCCAATTCCAAAAATGTTCCAGATATTGCTTGTTCAAAGAGGACTTGACCGGCACAAGGAAAAATGAACGGCGACTATCCAAACTTTCACCAACTGTTTGAATCCCCCAGATCTGTTTCTATCGTCAGAAACTGTCAATCACGTCTCATAAACCGTTAATGCCCAGCTCTTGCTACGCTCGGGCCCACGCTGTTCCTTGAAGTTTTCAGAAACGCTTAGTTATAACGGACGAAATAACCAAAACACCGATTGGCCGCTTGAGATTTCTTTATTGTTACACCAACATATAAAAATAATAACTGAACTAAGGTCTGTGAACAAATATTACAATAATAAATCATAGTATTACTTCTGACGATGTTTCACTCTTCTTTCTGAACAGCGACCGATGAGACGATGACTGTCGTATTGATGCCTCCGCGAAAATTGGGGAAGTTGATTTTGAGCAAACAACCAAGAATTGATCGTTCAATCTTCAACTCCATTGACACCTTTCAATCCCTTGTATACGTCGTACTTACCTCAAAATTGTATGGTTATCGTATGCCTACAAGCACGGGATGAAAACGAAACGAAGTCGATTTTTCCGCCCAACCTGGAGGACAACTGTGCAATTCAATAACTATACGGCCTGGTTCAGACAATCAGTGTAATTATGTATGTATATAATAATATTAATGATTTACTTTATTCAAAAAACAGTACTTGTGATATAGAATGGAATTTTCAGCATTAATCACAATTTTGCATCTAATTTCCTCAAATTACAAATAAAATTAATCACACAGAAAAGTTTCCACATTTATAATAGAGGTAGTGTCAAAAACATGCAGCATATAAAGTGGAAATAGCAATAATTATGATAACAGCTTGGGTAATAATAATAAGAATACAAGTGAAAATTGCCGTTGGCTTGTGCCACACAGTATTGGCAATGTGGTTAAGAAATCATAACATGTTTAGAAAATATTGAATATAATGTTCTCTTTACATGATATGGTGAAGGGAAAAACAAAGATTACAGCCGTCATGGAAATAAGTTGGTGTTTGCAATTGTGAGAGTAAAACAGAGAAGTAACAGGACCATAAATATAATAGAAGTAATAAAAGTAAAACTTGAAGGTATATGAGAATGGATGGAGGAAATTGTTTATTTACTAGATGAAAAAAGGTTGGTTAACTCTTGGCTGACACTATTTTCATCACATAAAATACGTGCCAAGTATGGTATCATAGAATTCTTATACTTAGACGTGCGAGCATACAGTTTTCTGAAGTTACTCCTTGTTCTACCTGAGGAGATGCGAGGTGAAAGCTGAGGGTAAAGCGGATGCTCCAATTCAGACAAAATCCCTTTAGCAAAATTTATTGCACGAAGTCAAGTGCCTATCGACAACGATGTTAACTATGTGGTCCACTAGGACACCACTCACCCTACTGACAGTCTTCAGTATTCTACGAATTGTGACATAGTCCTTTTTAAGCAAACCAGGAAAGAATAAGGGTGAGCAACAAAGAAGAATAGGTAGGATGGAAGAGTTTATGAACTGTAAGAGGAGGGGTTGAGTTATACCCGAGTGTCTTAACTTCTTAATGTAAAATGTCAGGCGGAATATTTTACTGGAGATTGCTAAGACATGGGAAGACCAGGAGAGATCAGAAGAGAGAATGAGTCCAAGATACTTAATTTGGTAGCACGGAAATGGTAGTCTTGTTACTTAGAATATTTACTCTGTCACTGGAAACTGGAACTTATCCTGAAGTGTGGAAAACCACATACATATTACCTAAGCACAAGGCAGGGGCCAAAACCAGTGCATGTAACTATAGACCTATTAATATAACACTGGTAATATCACGAATAATGGAGAAAGTGGTTAAAGACCAAGTGTCAGACAACTTACTAGAACATGAACTTATCAATCCATCACAACACGGATTCCTCGAAAAGAGATCATGTGTGACTTGTCACATAGACTTTTTCAATGAAGTTACACGAAGCAGAGACAACAGAGAACTAGTAATTGTGCTATATTTCGATATAACAAAAGCCTTCGATAGAGTCCCCCATAATAATAATAATATATATTCTCATTGTTTACATGAGGGACGCCAGTTTACAGGCATCATCAATTCGATAATTTACACATAATATTAGTAAGCATATTTAGTAAAGATAATATAATAATAATCTGCTAGTCTACCGGTTATGCTCACTAGGGATATGTGACCCTCTCCTGAGCTGGATAAAATCATTTCTCTGTGACAGGAATCAGATAACAAAAGTTGGCTCGATAATCTCAAGGCCTAAACCTGTAAGTAGTGGTGTAATCCAGGGAAGTGTATTAGGCCCACTCCTATTCATAATATATATAAACAGTATCTGTGAATGCTTTAGTGTTGGTAAACCAATACTATATGCAGATGACTTAAAAGTGACCTATAAATGCAAGAACACAGATCTCGGAATAACAGTAAACGCCATACAGCAAGAATTAGAAAAAATGGATAGATGGTGTGACACCTGGCAACTCCAGTTTAATGTCGACAAATGTGGCTGGCTCTGCATAGGTTGCAACAATTTAGAACTTGACCTGACAATTCAAGGCCATGCACTCTTACGACTGGAATCTGTATTGGACCTAGGACTGAAATACTCACATGACTTATCATTTTCTGAACATATCTCCAAACAAGTGTCAAAGTCACGCAGACTTATCGGCTTTCTACTCAGGAACTTTTACAGAAATGAGTCCAGAATTCTGTTGTACAAGGTTTGTGTGCGTCCTTTATTTGATTACTGTTCATTCATGTATAGTAGTATACGCATAGAGGACAAATTGAAAGTCGAGGGAGTGCAGAGGTACTTCACGTCAAAATTACTCGGAACCGAAAATGGTGCGAACTACTCCACTAGATGTGACACCCTAGGATTAGAAACACTATGGCTAAGACGCCTGAGACTAAACTTAACACTTTACTATAAGCTTCTAAACCACTTAGTTTTTACCTCTACTAATGGCATTCGACTTTCAGATGACAGTGGCTACAAACTAAGACACACTAAGGGTACAGTAGCTATCGAACAATGTAAAACAGCTACCAGGCAAAAGTTTTATTTGATTAGGTATGCACAGATATGGAATAAACTACCAATGGAAATGCGTCAAGCAGGTACATTGGCTTCCTTCAAAAAAGTGCTTAACGACAAACTACACGAGTTTGCAAACGACAGTAGTCCTAGTTCCTATCTGAGAGCCTCCGAAATTATAGGTCCATTTAATGTATAAGCTCAAATACTACACCTGTTGTTTTTGCCTATATTTATAATTTTAGATAAAACATTAACGATTAAGATACTTACCCTCAAACAGACAAGAAGTTTCGTTTGTAAAACTTCTACCCAACACAATAAGTGGAATAAAATGGACATAAACCGACAACATGAAAAAGGTTATAACTCACCACAACATCACATGGACAGATGTACGCTCGTCGGACATCATATATGCCTCACCAACTACAACCCAACATTCCTGAGATAATGTGATGAACTTATATCCGTAATGTTGCTGAGCAGTCAATATCCACAACTCCTGTCGGAACAACTAAAATTCAAAAACCTTCCTCACGAGAAGTAAATACCCACAAGCAGTAGAAATCCATTAATTAATGCGTCTAAAGCTTATGTATTTTACTCCCAACAATGACATTGCACATCAAATGAGATAAACATATCACTGATTTCAAAATAACACATCAATGAACTATAATTCAAGGATTCTGCACACAAAGTATTGTACGAAAATTGACTTCAAGCTTTATTTTTTTCCCAGGCACTTATAACCCATCCACCAAAGACCTGGTTTTTTTGTTAATGCGAAGACAATACTTCTGTATTTCCTGATGTGTTGCACTCACTGACAATCTAGCGGATTTTTCCAACTATGCACAGAAATGATTGTACATAAGTGAAAAGGATGTTTTATACTATTGGGATTAACATTTATCAAGTGTATGTATAATCTCCAGTGTACATGTTAAACATATTTTGCTATCGACTGTAAATTGTGACTGAATAATATGGTTCTATTTCTGTAACAATTTGATGATGCCTGTAAACTGGCGTCCCTCATGTACTGTATCATGAGAATAAAATTATTTATTTATTTATATTTCTGAATTGATTCCCATATCATTGTCGTCAATTTTACAACTGTCATGAGAATCGATGACTTCTTTTAACTGTCGTTTACATCTTAAGCTGAAATTAACAGTTTGACATTTAGAAGGATTCAGTTTAAGACCGTTAGACTCAGACCATTTGCTGACTACTGAGAGAAAGATATTTATTTTAGTACAATCCAGCTGGGAGTTAACAGCCACTGAAGCTGTTAAATCATCAGCGTACCTCACAAAGTTTATTTCATCAGAGTGAGGCAAGTCATGCAAGAAGAAAGAAAAAAGAAAAGGAGAAAGGACAGCACCTTGAGGGACACCAGCTTCAGTAGGCGATGAAGTGGAAGACTTCTCTTTATATACGGTGTACTGCTTACTATCTGAGAAATAGGAATGTAACCAGTTACCAGCCCAACATTCTGTTTGACTTGCAGCAAGTTTATTGAATAAGATGTCCCTAGGGACCGAGTCAAAAGCAGATGAATAGTCTAGGAAGGCACAACGAACAAATTTAGCCCCCTTGTCAAGGCTGGGAGCAATGTTATTATTATTATTATTTTGAGTACTGTGTATATCTCCTGAAAGAAATCCGAAACGATAATCCAAACTATAGATTTAACCACACGTAGAGTGACGCGTAATATCCAAAATACAGGATATTCTGCAACACGGTACTTTATTACATAAAAATAGATATATAATATATAAACCTCAAAATGTGAGGTGTCTGTGGCTAAATGCCGCCAAATGCACAACCACTGTGCAGTCAATAAGTAAAAATAGCAATGCTGTGTCAAGGTCGATCCACGTGTCGGTTCAAACGGCCCGCGAATGCCAAACAAAGAATAAACAAATATGAGCAAACAACTTTCAAAAGTAAAGCATACACTATAGGGTAAATGCAGCAAATAATGTTTAAGGAGAAGAAAAATAAGAACTATACATTAGTAGAATGATAATAGAACAAGTAATTTAACTGCAGTTGTAAGCAAATGTCATTGTTATAAATTAACATATAAAAATCATACTACTTACTAATGGCAAGTAGTATGATGTTGAACAAAGGAAAGATTGAGAATGAACAGGTAGGAAAAGAATTAACACTTATATTATATAGCTTGATTTACTTTACGGCTCCCTGTAAGACTAACTCCCCTTGTGCAGTATTTTCAACCAAATGCTAAACTTTTGTTGGTTCAGCGTTAATACCTGTTTATAATACGTGTAAACGGGTTACTTTGCAATGTCTACTTTATATAACACTGCTATGATAATTTAATACACTTAGTCCTGCCAACCGACCATACCTTCAGATCGTACTACCTACTGAATCTTGCTCCACTATTCACAATACCTATTCGTTTTACTCTTTAAGTTTTTAACTTCTTATAAAGTAATCTGTTCATTAGGACGCATGCGCACATTTATGATATGTTCATAAAGATGTATCTGGAGATCTATTGGAAGCACTCATTAAGAAAGCTAGGGAGATGGGATATGAGGTACCAAAATGTCTCGTACAAAGCAATATATTTGCTGTAGCCGTAATAATGAGTCTAACATCATAGAAAGAGGGAGGGTGGCGCTAGCTGATCAGTAGATATGGTGGTGGTCACTAAGGTGAATCACCCCATTCTGCAGGAACAGCAATATGTAATTGCACGGTTCGAGGTTTTTCTGATGTTTATGAGGGCTTAGATCTTATCTTGAAAAAGATAATAATGAACGCCTTGACAGATCATGCTTCTACCTTTAAATATATACCATTTGCTCAGCCTATTGTTGAGTCGCGACCACGTGGGCTCTACACAGATTTATGGGGCATCTTATAAATTAACTTGCTATCCATCGTCAGATCTTTAAATACCACTTCACGATGTCTTATCTCATTTATTTTCTAATAACGTCTTTACTTTATCCTCATTATATTCCACTAAACCTAACATTTTATGGCTCTGTATGAATTTGATTCGACTTATTCTATTCCTATTCTCTGTAGGGTACGGTTGTGCACCAAATAGACAAAAAGGCATGAAATAAAAACAACTGGCTTGAAAATAATTGTATTAAAGCCAAAAGTGGACATCATGATAGTGAGACGTATATGGGTAGCATTATATATTGCAAATGAACGTTGTCGGCCTAGGGATTAATTACTTCCCCATTCTGTTTCCTATATTGCACTAAGGTTAACCGAGTCCGATCATCTTGGCACAGATCGTCATCAGGAGTGTCGCAGGGTTCTATCCTAGGACCACTGATGTTTTTGATTTTCATCAATGATCTACCACGCCGTCTGAGCTGCCCGACTCTCCTGTACGCTGACGACGTAAAAATATGGAGGGCGATAAAGTGTCCGGAGGACTCAGATAGGCTACAGGAAGACCTAAACCTTCTGGAAGACTGGGCGGTGGCCAGTGGCATGACTTTCAACTTGAAAAAGTGCAAAGTAGTGAAGTTGCGCACCTGTAGACTGCAGAATGCAAGTTACACCCTGTGCAATGAAAGCTTGTCCTGCACAACGTCGGAACGCGACTTAGGTCTAGTTCTAACGGAAAAAATGGACACAAGCGTAAATTACACAGGGGATGTAGCGAGGGCATATGCGGTCATACACTTTACGCATAGACAGTTAGGTGCACTCACTCCTGAGCTCTTTCTAATGTTGTACAAAACATACGTCAGGCCACACCTTGAGGTGCATAATATTATTGCACCCCCAATGCTGAGAAGAGATGCCAACCTCTTGGAAAGAGTCCAACGATGGGCAACAAAAGGAGTGGTTGGTCTCCGAAACAAACCATATGATGAAAGGCTGAAGAAATTAGGCCTGTTCACACTTAGTTACCGTCGGCTTAGGGGGGATTTGATTACTGCCTACAAAATAACAAATGACCAGAATCACCCAAACAAAGGTGTTCTGCCATTGAGTAGGTATAGGCTTCCACGTGGAAATCCCAGAAGGATAGCTCACCAGAGGGCAAGGACCCGGGTGCGCTCCCACTTCTTTTCACTGCGGGTTTGTCGTCCCTGGAATTCCTTACCGGCAGATGTAGCTATGGCACCGTCTTTGGACGCCTTTAAGCGAAGGCTGGACAACCATGCAGCGATACAAGGACTGCATCCAAATGGCCTATCTCCTTAAAATCGCATTTACCAATCAGGGTAGATAATTAAACTCGTCATTTTACTTCTTTACATTCTCTCCCGTCTTACTCTCCTGACAACTTATTAATATTATAATTACTATTATTATTATTATTACTATTACTGATATATATATTATTCTTCGAACTTCATGAGCTGACTGTTGTTACGTTTCCTATTTTCGTTTCTGTCTCTTAGTCTGAATAGCTTCACTAATTATATCTATTATTATTATTATTACTATTATTATTATTACTATTATTATTATTATTACTATCTCTTTTCTCTTGTCGACAATACCGAAGGACTAACTGGCGAAAGGATCAACTCCAATCACAGTAGTAACAGTCTTAACATACCTCATACTACAAACCACATATAATTAATCCCAGCACTACTCCCTTTGGAGTCAACCAAAGCTACGACAGTCGAGTGGCGGGACAAGCTACGCAGAAGTTTACCGAAGATCAAGAACCTATACCTCACAATCAAGAAGCGAGCACAAAGAAATCAAATTGGTTTATACTAGCTCGTAAAAACGATATTGGATATTGGATATATAAATGTATTTATTGATGATATATTGCACTTACTTAATTAATTACACTTTAATGATACACCTTAGCACTTTAAATTTTCTAAAACACCTTTCAATCCCTTGTATACGTCGTACTTACCTCAAAATTGTATGGTTATCGTATGCCTACAAGCACGGGATGAAAACGAAACGAAGTCGATTTTTCCGCCCAACCTGGAGGACAACTGTGCAATTCAATAACTATACGGCCTGGTTCAGACAATAAGTGTAACTATATATGTATTAAATATTTAACTGTTTTAGCATTATT